TCATATTCACGAACTAAAAACGGCCATGCATCACCATCCAAGAAATCAAGAAAGAGCTATTAATCTGTCAATCCTACTCTTGTCTTAAACTAGTGAGTTTCCCCGTGTTGAGTCAAATTAAGCCGCAAGCTCCACGCCTGGTGGTGCCCTTCCGTCAATTCTTTTAACTTTCTCGCTTGCGCGAATACTCGCCCCAGAACCCAAAGACTTTGATTTCTCATAAGGCACTGAAGGAAGCAATCTAAGAGTTCTTTCTCCGAAGAGAAAAACCTCTTATTTTTAAATCTTTCATCCAAAGCCTAGTCGGCATAGTTTATGGTTAAGATTACGACGGTATCTGATCGTCTTCACTCCCTTAACTTTCGTTCTTGATTAATGGAAGTATTTTAGGCAAATGCTTTCGCAGTTGTTTGTCTCCAGAAAATCTAAGAATTTCACCTCTGACATCTGAATACAAATGCCCCCAAGCTACTCCTATTAATCGTAACTAAGCCAAAATAAGAAAAAAGAACAAAAAATTCTGACTTGTTCAATTTTGTTATTCCATGCTGTAGTATTCAAACACACAAAAGGTTATATCTGTTTGCTTTGAACACTCTAATTTACTCAAAGTAACAAGATCTTCAATAGCCGCAGCCAAAGAAAGATCTTAAAAAGAATCATTTTAATTAAAAGAACACATAATAGCTAAATGCTCACAAAGTCGATACACGTAGTAGTATATATCAGTTATGTGGATTAAGCTAAAAGCGTTACTTAAAATATCGATTCTTTGAAATTCAACTACGAGCGTTTTAACTGCAACAATTTTAATATACGCTATTGGAGCTGGAATTACCGCGGCTGCTGGCACCAGACTTGCCCTCCAATTGAATTTTGGGAAGGTTTTAAATTCCCATCATTCCAATTACAAAGCCAGATTGGCCTTGTATTGTTATTTCTTGTCACTACCTCTCTTCTTTAGAATTGGGTAATTTACGCGCCTGCTGCCTTCCTTAGATGTGGTAGCTATTTCTCAGGCTCCCTCTCCGGAATCGAACTCTAATTCCCCGTTACCCGTCATAGCCATGTTAGGCCAATACCCTAACATCAAAAGCTGATAGGTCAGAAACTCGATTGATACACACTAAAAAATGGAGTGAATCCATTACGTGTTACTTCTTTGTTATAATTCCTTAAGTTAATAACTTCTTTCTTATAAGGCTTAACAAGTACACACTCAAGAAATAAATCAAGAGTGCTAAAGCAAGTATTAGCTACAGCTTTTCCGTAGTTATCCTTATATAGAAAATGTCAAGTAGATTATAACTGTTTTAATGAGCCGTTCGCAGTTTCTACATATAAAATATGCATATACTTTCACTTGCATGGCTTAATCTTTGAGACAAGCATATGACTACTGGCAAGATCAACCAGGTTACTATTTATATATTGCAATAAAGAGATTTTCGAAGATTAAAGTAAAAATACTTCGCCTTGGCGTACATATTATATCACTAAAACTTCTTCAAAACCCTTTCGCTATATATAAATGTTTATGTAAATTCTTTTATTAATATTCAATTTACTATTCATTACGAATAATAAATGCACATATTAATAACAATTACAAAGTTGATGTTTTATTATGTCATTTTCCTAATCATTTAGTTATGTTCAATATATAACTTTATGATAGGAATTATTGCACCTGCTAAAACGATAAGAGTAATAATTACTTATATATAGAAAATCTTTTCAGAATAATTGAAGTACAATTATTTCTTTAAAGAATTTCACAAGTAAAAATACCTTACTTCAGCATGATGCATTTATAAAGTAATACTAGAATTTATAGCAAACAATTGAACAGATTATCAATCGTGAGAAAATTACAATAAAATTAATAAACTTTTATTGCAAAATTATGTGTTTTTAATTATTGCTAAAAAATTCCATTGTTATAATGAAAATTTTAAGCAATTATGTGGTCTAAAGTCATAAATATTATATTTATGACGAAGAGAAATTATTAACAAAATCAAGGAAAATTTAATTAAGCAAAACAAATGTATATTTAGAATGTACTTTAGAAAAAAAGTACCAAAAAGAATAACCTTTGAAAATTACTATTCTGTTTTTTTAACGATAAATAAAGTCGGCTATGAAGAATTTGCATTGCATTTTGCTTATGCGTAAAAGAAAGGAACAGTGAGAAAATATACTTTATAATTTTCTCGATTTAAGCAGCAAATTTGTAGTTTGCTTTTTTCATTTTCTTTTACAAATTTGGGGTTTGCATATTTTTGTTGTTTAATCATTTATTATACATTTAAAATTATGTCGTTTTTTCATATTTTGAGCATATTGACGAAAAAATCAACATAAAATGTTTATCAATAAACACGGGTGCTTTGCAATTAGGCCACTAAAACGGTGCTCAAGCATCCACTCCACTCAGAAAGCCACGAACGCAATTTGCTCCACTTACATGTATTCATATCATATTCAATATTCTCGGGCACCGTGTTCCACTCACCGCGCATCATCATCCATATGCGTCAAATACAGTAATAGCCCCCTTTCAAAATGCCGCCCGAAAATAGCCCCAGCCGTTTCAGCCCTTAAAAAATTTTTGCCTAAATAAAATTTGGCACTTCCGTATACTTGTGCAATGCAAAAATATTCATCAAAATTGGTAAAAAATAGTTTGATTGTAAAATAATAGCATTATTGCAACAAATTAGCAGTCATATGGGAAAATTTTCCGATATTTAAAGTTCTATATTTTCTTATTTTTTTTATTCTATTTTTATTCTTACGCCGCCCGTTGAGAATATTCGATTGTCATCCACCTGTGCGCTTAATTTGTATAACTATAACGCAAGTTTTTTTTTTTTTTTACCACTTATACAGCTTCCATTACGCCCAAAATAATTTTTGTGAATATAATTTATCCAAAGGGAAGTTCCATGTTGAATGAAACTACCCTTAAATGTTTTATTACCAAACCAAAAAAAAAAAAAAAAAGACTGTCTACATCATAGTAAAGTTTGTGAAGTCCTTGCTGGCACATCCACACCGCCAGCTGCTGGAACGAACTCATGGATGCACGTGTACCATCCAAATGGTATTGTTCCTCTTCCAATGGTATGCGCTGTTTTGCGCTTTACGAGCACACATAACCACATCATGAAAAAAAAAAAAAAAAAAAAAAAACATAGTTATCCTATCCTTATACTGCGACGCATATTTACCTACCCATACAAATGAGTGCAATCCACCCCCTTTGGAGACGCCGTTCGGAGACACCATCCGACCCCAGACACGCCACGTTGTTCACAATGACGCCACCTCCTCTTGTATAAAGTGTGATTACTTGCATTTTTTGGCGTATACATCCCCGCTTCCTTCACACATCCCCATTATGTATGTGCAAGTTTCCTTTGCAAAAAAAAAAAAAAAAAAAAAAAAAAACAATAACAGCAAGATTATTGTGGTAATAGAGCACACCTACGTAACGCACCACATGCAACTTCAACACCGTACAGTGCGAATATGCTTTTATTAACGCTCGCCGCATCGTGTCAGCGATTATCTCTGAACAACGCAATGCCGTCGTTAGTGTTCTCTTTTTAAGTTAATTTCAAGTAAACAACAAAAAAAAAAGAAAAGCACAGAAACATATTATCTTATGGAACAATTTTGCATTAAAAAAGGAATAAATTTAACACATATTTGAACATGTCCCCGTGATTCGGTACGAACAATGGGCTTCACACCCAAACACCTCCCACTCAGGACCATGCACGTAAATAAACGCCTCCCATTCGGGTCATGCACATAAATAAAACGCGCATGTACACATGCATGCATATTTGTTCCATTTTGTCCCATGTGCACACAACGCTTCAAAAAAACTTCTACAATTGTTTTTGTAAAATTAAAGTGCATTCACAGAGTGCCTAAACTGCCGATGAACAGCTTGACAACACAAAAAAAAAAAATAAATAAAAAGACATCTTCTGCCACCCAATGTAATAGAACTTAATTCTTCTGTGTTCTTTTTCTCAATTTGGAGTTCTTTCGTTTGTTTGATCCATTTCCCTTTGATGCCCTTCTATTTATGTAAAAATACAACGCCTCTGCATTTTTGTTAAACACGGTCGTAATCAAATTTCCAAACTTATCTGTCGTGGTAATTTCGTACGTTTGCGAATCTCCCCATGGTTCCGGAGTTTCTAATCTGTAAACGTGAACAAGCAATGACAAAGTGGATCCATTCGGGATGGATCAAAAATGAGCATAAAGGAAAAATAAATAAAAGAACATTACAAGAAAACTGCAAAGGGCTCATATCACCAGCGTGCATCATGGGACATGGTACTATAAGTATAAAACTCTTGGGTGCCCATGATTTAGGCGCACTATTCCCGCTTCCCTACCTCAACATACGACCGTTGATTTCTTGGGGCAATCTAACAAAAAAGGGGGGAAAAAAAGACGCACAAAAAGAAGGGCGGTGAGAAATGTAAAAAAAACTGCTAAAATGAACTCGTTCACATTCATTACACACGTTCTGCTTAATGAAGAAATTGATTTCTTCGGTTACATCTCCCTCATACGCCGCACATGTGAGCATCCGCCTCGCAGGAGCAGCATCACTCATATGGCACCTACTTCCTGTAGTTCGTCAAAAAGGAACTATCCTTTGCCCTCTCACACTGCAAAACGAAAAATAAATAGTTAACATTTGACGCCGCTCTAACTACCAGACACACTGCCATTAAGTCGCTCTATGCACTTCTGCGTGGGCAATCGCGCTAATTTGCACCTATGAATGATCACCCTAACATGGCCTCTCATGCACTTGGAAACGGTACCCCAAAAAACACGGAACTCTTTCTCCCAATCTAAGTATACAAACACATGTAAACTTACGTATAGAACTATCCATATTAAAGAAAAAATAAAAAACTTAATTGAAAGCATTCTAGTGGTGATTGGAAGTACTGCAATGGGAAATAATTTTCTTATATACTATTCCGTACGGCAGAAAAACAGGTTTGATAACCATGAGCATCAGGAGCTTCTACTGTACGCTGGAACGAAGGGTAATTCGTGCCGACTTGGTTCTCATGTAGCCTGTGTACTCAAATTTATGTGTGCTATACTTTGCAAGCGTGTTTGCACACACGTCTGTACAGCACTTTGGCTAATTCTTTCAAATGCTGATTCCTAAAGGTGTACTTTTCTGAAATTTCTCAAAAACGTTCGCAAATTTACTAAACTGGACTACACACTTGTAAATAAAAGGTAACATTTACGCATTAGTTTATTTTATTTTGTTTTTTATTTATTTTTTCTTTTTTTTTTTTTTTTACTCTCTTTTTGCCTCTATTTTTATACTTCCCGGTTTAACCCTATTTTTACATCATTCTTTTTTACCCCTTATTGTTACCTCTTTTTTTTTTTTTTTTTTTTTTCCCTTTAATCTATTCCCGTTTCTCAGTTCGAAATCGTTGCAAATCTAGGACGTTGTTATAACAGCTAAACGTACCAGAGTTAATTTTTCATTGCAGACTTTGAAATTTATTTTCTCGATTCGGGACCACACATTACGCCTACACCCCAGTCACATTCGCGAAAAAAAAAAAAGGTGTACATATGTTTATACATATATAATGCGTACACACTACGTATATGTATATATTCGTCCTGGCCATAAAAAAATTGTACACACAATTTTGTTACAATAGCCATCTGGGTTCCCCATTTTTCGAAAGTACTGAAATGAGCAATTTTCTCAAAAATTATACAAAAAAAAAAAAATTAATCCAAGTTGTAATTTTCTCTTCACATTTTTTTTTTCCCACCTTACCAGCTATTTGGTCTCCTTTTCTATATAAATCATAGTAATATATTACTGCACATTAACTACATTTTTTTTCCTTTTTTTTTTTTTTAACGCCGGTCATTCCTTGGAATGAGCAAATGCCAACCATGTGGCCAAACGGAAAATTACTCATCCCTTGGTAAATTATAATAAGGGGGGAAACGTAGTAGTATATACATCTTTTTTTTTTCTGTTTTTTTTCAAATTAGCGCAAAAAAGAAAAACTTGTAATGCACTTGCATTTTCTGAATGTAGAGGCACATTAGATTTTTTCTACACCCTCCAATTATACCTGTTCTTGCTCTAAGTTGTGTAATCGTTTGCGAACTTATGACTTTTCACTTCCCTAAATTGATGTAATATTCACACACGCGACAAAACACGGGTTCTAATGAAAACAACAAGTGCTACTTCTTTAGGAAGGTTTTCTAACCAATTATTTTGAGCCCCCTACTCTTAGCCAATCTTCCGACTACGTGTCACAAAACACGCATCAATTTTTCCCCTTCCTCTATGTTAACTTATGTTTCTCATTTGACTGCACCTCCCTGACTCAGAAGAAAGGGCATGTGATAGATACCTTAACGTATGGTTTCCCCGTAATCACTTCAAATGGGAAAAAGAAAAAAAACGTCATGAGAAACAAATTTATGTTTTACTCCCAAAAGTGTAAAACGCAATGGTTGCACAAAAGGTATAGCATTAACTAAAGGTCCTAAAACTTGCCTACCCATTTCTCCCACTGCCAGCCATTTCAAGCGCATCGCGCAATGTGCGTGCTTATCCTGTCCAATGTGGAAACCCAGAGTGCAAGTGAAACTTATTATAAAAGTTTTTCCCACACCAACTACCTACTAAAGCGATAAAACAAAAATATAACATAAATAAACAGTGCAACCACTAGCAGCGTTAACACGCACATATGTAGGTCTACATATGATCTAACTTAAACCGGGAAAGGACTCCTGAGCAGGTTCCCTTCTATTCTCATACAACTTGGACACTATTTTATCTTCCGCTTGGAATAAATCTACATGAGGTGTAAAAAGAGTGTAATGACTGAATTATCGAATTCGTGGCACTTTCTTGTGAAAATAAAAAAATAATTCATGTTATGCTCTCCAATTGGGGGGCATCCCAAAAAACCTTACTACCCCCGCGTGGGGGGGACTATTCCCGGAACTCTCCTTCAAAAATGAATATATTCATTGGTGTGCATGATTCGACAGACCATTCCTATTCCTGCTTTGTGGGCCCCCCACACTCACTCTCTATTTGTGTATCCTAAAAATTGGACGCAAAACTCAAAAGATTGTGCTTATCTACGTACATCAATCTGACCGATGAATTGGTAATGCTTCTTCACCAACACATTCGCATAGTCACACCTGCTTCTATATTATCCATTTGGCATGTACCATTGGGGGCCTACACTGCGCGTAATGAGCCCTTCTCGGATCATCCCTTCGAAATGAAAGAGAGCGCATCATGTAGTTCAACGGTGCCACCTAATTCTATCATCTCCATTGTCTGCCGCACCATGCATGTATTACCCAAATGCAGGAGCTTCCATTTTTATAAAACTGCGTCCTTCACCAACCTAGAAAAAGGACAAAACTCCTTTTCACTTAGGCTAGTGAACAGCTTAGAGGAACGCATAGGCCCTTTTGTTGCGAATCCCTTTTAAGCATTAGCTGCACAACAGTGGACACTACAGCACGATTAATAGGATTTCCCCAATTTATACAATTCATATGACACTGTTTTGCATGGCCACCATTTGGATTTTTCTTTTAGCAGTAAAAGAAAAAGAAAGCAACCCTTTTAGCGCAGTTGTTCAAACATTAGCAGTCTAATATAGAGTGCCATTTCAACACACACGTGACAAAAAAAAAATGAAACAGAAAATGAAAAAAACAGTCTTGTACAACTTCCGCGTAGACACAAGTAAACACACGGTTAAAAAAAAAAAAATCAAATAAAATAATCACTGCCAACGATAAGACATCATGAGAAATAACAAGATTATCCGTAATTCTTGTAAAAATTAATTCCTCTGAGTTGATTACCTTCCAAAGATCCCCCTGCACTTTCTTGATTACCATATTTTGCCCTTTTAAATTACTCTTCAGTTAAAAGCATAACTACACCTGGTGTCCTCTTCCATAGTAGTCACCGCTCCTTATTTCACGAAAAAAAAAAACAAAAAAAACATTCCCAGCCTTTACTGGCACGTTAAAGCCTTGCATGAACCGTCCACGCAACTTATCAACGCATTGCAAATGTCTGCTATAAAATTAGCCAAAGTTGTCATGCAGCCTACGATTGGATTCGCCATTTTGCAAAATAGCAGTTTTCTTAATATATAAACAAGCTGAACGGTAAGGCTTCCCCTACAATACCAGTCACTTTTGCTACAAAAGCGCTACAAAAATGAGACACTTTTATGTTGTACGAATTTGTCTACCAACGGGAATGTGTTTAATTGTCTCTGTTACGCTGTTGAAAAATAAACGATTGTAAAATTGTAAAACTAGAGAATTGTAAAAGAAAATGTTTAACAAATGGCAGACACTTTGTGTTTTTTTGAATAATATACATTTTAAGTGATTTAAAAAAAAAAAAAAAAAAAAAAATTGCACATAGCTAGCCAAAATGGCATGCAAAAATGCGTCACACCATATCGAAGGAAAAATAGCTAAGTCAAGAAAAAGGGGCCAAAAATGTGCGCCATGCTGCCTTTTGAATAATGCTAAAACTTTAAAAAAAGGCAAAAAAAAAAAAAAAAAAAGCGCAACACATTTTTGATCATCCAAAAAGTAAGCCCAAGCGGAGATTCGCATGTGTTCCATTGTGACGAATCAACAAGTTGCAAAGTAAAACCAAATGGTTCCACAGCTGCGCTGCTTCATGGACAAACCGAAAAGACCTGAAGTACCCCAAAACAAAACATTTCCGCCGAAAAAGCAATATTTTGCTTACCAAAATAAAATGTGCGCAACTCAAAGGAGAGGCTGCATGTCACACTTTTTTTCCCTTCATGAGAAATGCACAGCAAGTGATTAAAAAGTGTCCACCATCATATACGCCTTAAAAAATGTACATATGTAGGGAAACAACGAATACTTAGCAGGGTTCCCGCTTTTGCGGCGGGGCCACGAAACTGCTTAACGCATAATTCACAACTGTTAAACGAAAAACCTCCATACACGTGGACATGGGAACCTTCGAGTAAAATGGAATAACCTCATAATGCAAAGCTCATGCACAAAATTTTCCCTATTTTTTAACAAAATTGTGCAACAAAGGGACGGGGAAAAAATCCTCTCGGCAGCGTCTTAATATGGTGAAATATTTTAAAAGTGCTTTCCCCCTAAGAAATATTCTCAACGACTGCAGCAACAAAGCCTGCCACCTTCGAAGCAATTTTATACAGCATTGCTTCTATTGGACCCCAACTTACTTATTTAAAACAGTTCCTCACTTCAAAAGATTTGGTACCTTCTACGAAAATACATGCGCTATTACAGTCGTTTTTTTTTTTTTTTTTTTTTTGTTTCGTCCCGCCATCCACATGTTAGCATTTTCCCCTTGCTACCGCGCCCATTTTTCTCCCCTACGAGTTAAAACCTTCTTGGGGCTACTATTTTATATTTACCTATATATGCATATTTGTCGATATAATATATTTTTTTCTTTTTTTCAGCACTTTTTTTTTCCCGTATTATATATTTCACAGCAATGTAGAAAATAAACTCCTAAGGACGCAATCTTTTTGCAATTTTTTTTAATCATCCCTGAACATGCAATATAAGGCAACTACAAAATATAGGTTACGCCGACTTATAGTTTGAGGCGATCCACACTTAGCGTGAATTGTGCTTCTGCGCCCCTTTATGTTTTTTTTTTGCTCCCAAAGAAATGCGTGAACTATTTTTTAAACGTAACCCCATTGGCGCGCATGTAGCAAAAATATCGTAAGTGAAAGGATAAAAATCATTTAACCAGAAAGGATGCAAGTAATTACGTCCGATAAGCTAGGCCTACTCAAGTATGTACAATGCAGACCCACGAGCTCCATTTATGAGCAGACGCTCCAGCCCGATTTGAGCAGAACAATCAACCACGTGACATGGTCTGGCGGATACGGGTAATACATTTTTATACATACACCGTCTTGCGCGCGTATGTACCCTACTTCTACAGGCGCATGCGTATTAATATGTACATGTATATGCTACGGCAACTCGGCTCGCGCTCTTCCCACCATAAGCGCTCTAACCGTGTTGACTGGTTCATATTTTGTGTGAAATTCACTCTTGCCGGTTGCGCGACGTGCAAGTAGATGCGCCTCAAATCAGTGTATAATACCTGTCCAAACAATGTTCATTCATCACGCACGTGCCAACAATTACTCACTTTTTTCTCCTTACTCAATTCTCCGTCACCCCACCCCCCTAAAAGAGGATATGAAGAGTCACAAATAACGGTATGCAGGAAAAATGGGCTAGTCGAAAGTTTTGCCTTCCCGTATGATGAACCAAATCCAAAGATTAGCGACACATCCTTGCTATCATTTCTTACTTGTAACAATTGTATTCACACAAGGATGCTGAACCATCACCACAATGTAATATACAAAGATTTGTTCGATAAAGAAAAAGACAAGTATACTAATTATGCCGAGTTCATGCCCCTCTATACAAGTGAAAATGTAAAAAATGGAGTGTATGAAAGTTATCTCCAAAATGATAGACTTCTCCTTACCGTGAGTAATGGCGGACATGTACATGTCCTAAATTGGGATTGCGACAATGAACGTAGTAAGTACCACCTCAGTAAAGAACATGAAGTGAAACACGAAAAGGATGCTACGAAAAAGATGCAGCTGTATTTTAAAAATTACAAAGACGAAGTGTTACAGTCTATTGAATTCAAACAAATTGAAGAAAAAAATAGCAATAACCAGGTCATCATAAAAAAAAACGAGTATACAAATGTAAATGTTGAAGACATATGCACAGATTATCACCTCGATAATATGCTTTCCGAAGAAGCCGTATGCCAGTCGTACATCTTAAGTAACCCAATTGATGCTGCCTGTGTCAATGAGGTACTAACAAACAGACTAGCCATCGGGGGATACAAAAATTCTTTAAAAGTATTTGACTTATTCACCGGAAGCTACATGTGGAAATCAAAAAATATAGGAACGACTTTGCTAAATTTAAATTGCGAAAGTTTAATAAAATCTGTATCTTTCCTAAACGAAATCAATGTCAATATACTTTCAGCCACAACGTACGATCATAAAATTATTCTATATGATATGCGTTGCCAACCAAAGCCGGTTTACGTTTATGATCACCACAAGACGGGGAATATTAGTAAAAATAAGTTTTCCTGTTTTGATCATAACTACTCGGAGAGCGACCTCGTGTTTACGTGTATAAGCAGCAGCTCGCACGTGGGACGTGAGGAAACGGTTGCAAAGGGGGAGACACAGACCCAGGAGGGAGAAGTGCAGGGGGAAAACGAACAAAGCGAAACGCGGAATGGAGAGGCAGACCAAAAAACAGAGGAACATCAAGAAGGGAAGAAACGACGTGCTCACAATTTGGAGCCACAGGCACACTGCCCAGAGGAAGAACTGCACGCTAAATTTAACGCCCACCAAATGAAGACAAACAATTTTAAAATGTATGAAAAACTTCAGCAGCAAAAACAAGGACAGAATGAAACAGGAGCAGTAAACCCAAATGATGACACACAGGAAAAAGGGAGTTCCACTCTTTCCAACCCAAATAACTCAAACGAATCACAGTGTAGCAATTACTTCATAAAAAAACTCGCCTCCAAGGACAGCCAAATTATCTTCGTCTCGGATAACTACGGAAACGTCTACAAGTTCGAAATCGTCACGGGGAATAAACTCCTACAATATATTTATATGAAAAAATGCGCACAGGAAAAAGTGACATGTGAAGAAGACAAAAAGGGAGACCCCTCCTTTTTACTTAAAAACAAACAAAGCTTGTACGAATTTTACAAAGAATATCAAAGCAGTAACAAAACGCACATGCGAAATGACCTTCCTGTTATGTGGGCCAAAGACAATTTTGATCAATTCTTAATTTTATTTCTAAATAAATATAAAATCCATAATGGGGCCATATCTTCCCTAAGTTTGCACAGGGGGGGAATATTTCTCTGCTCAGTCAGCTATGACAGATTTTTAAGCATACTCAATGTAGAGATGAAAAAGGTTGTTAAGCGAGTACATGTCGGTCATATACTGACCAGCTGCTTGTTGAGGTCTGCCCCCATTGATGAGTCGGAACATGCGCTGAAGAATGGGCGCGGGCCCAAGGCATCCAAGCGGCAAAAAATTATCCATCGGGCCGAGGAATCAGACGACGAACCATCCAGCGAGTGCGAAAGTTGGCACGATTCCTCCAATGAGTCCAACGAGGGTGTAAGCAAAAGGGGGAAACGCCGTCAGGGGATGCTGGGCCAGGAAGAAGGGCAAGATGACGAGGATGATGAAGATGAGGACGAGGATGACGACGATGAAGAAGAAGATGATGAAGATGAGGAGGAGGACGAAGAAGACGATGATGATGAAGAAGAAGAAGAAGAAGAAGAGGAGGAGGAGGACGAAGAAGACGATGATGATGATGGTGAATAAACCTAAAGCGCCCAAGTGCAAAAAAAGAACGACACAACGACTAGCACTGACGGCATCCCTTCAATCAGCAAAGCGGTGCCCGCAGTTGGGCCATTCCGCACGTTGTGTAAATGGGCCAAAATATGATATCCTCCACATTTGGATCACCAATGAGAGGACTCAATTCATTTGTGTCTACCCTTGGAAAAACGCCTCCCCACGGATGGCGTGTCATACACCTAGGGCATTTCCTACTCACCGAAACTCTATGTAGTGTTCGTTTTAATTAAAAATGTCAATTTTTGGCTATTTGTTTGGTTTTATATATTTTTTTTTTCTTTTCTTTTTTAAACGTTTCTTTGGCATCCTGCGCACAGGAACGTCCTTGCCATGTATATGCAGACACATATACACAGACATTATTACATTTTTTTTTTAACTTAAAAAAAGAGTAAAAAAAAAAAAAAAAGGTCTTAACAAAGCATACCGTTGTGTTGGTACGCACAGTGAGGGGGGAAGAAGGATCATAGGAATCACTTCATACAGGCTTAATCTGAAAAGGGGGGAAAACACGTACGTCAGTTTTAAGCATGAGATGGGGCTGTACAAACGTGTGACAAATCCCATTTGAGAGGTTTCGCTTAACCGCATAAGGGTTTCTCCAACATATACACACACATTATATAATTATTGCCTCTTGTCGCTCCATACTTACCCTAAAGTGCAAGCAAATGAGAGAGAACAAGAAACACTTCAAATCCTGCACGAGGTAGTAGAACACTCTGAGTCCCTCTGGATCGTCGCACTGTTTCAGATCAGAAAGCGATCCAATTTTAGAAGTCGTAAAATAATATTCATTCCCATCTAAGAAAATTTCTAGCTCTTGTTTTCCTATTTTGTCTGGGGCAGGCCATAACTTATCGCTTTCTTTGCAAATCTCCGATTCTTCAATTATGCGCTTAAGTTCGTTCAGCACGGACTTACTCACGTAGGCTGAAAACAGGGGGATGCAATAAGAGGGATAACGAGTGATAATTAATATAAAACGATTTATGTCCCTCTATCGCTGGCCAATTTCAGCATTAGCATTAAGCACAGATTAACGGCCGCATACAGTAATGAAACACACATATGACGCGCAACACACACCTATGCATTCTCACTTACCCTCCTTCCTAATAATTTTGTCATTTTTATAATTGGAGTTGTTGGCATATCTCAGTCTCCCCTTGGAGTTGAATTCAAACTCGAGGAACTCATGGCCGAATTTCCCTTCATGCCCAACACTGCAAAAAAGGGGAAATGCACGCAGGGGAAAAAAGCGATGTAGTGATAGGGACATATGGTAATTGCGAGGATAACATGCATCCATCCCTACCGGTATCTACACATGTTTACGTCACGGTGTCGATCATCCTGCAGCGAACACAACGTATCAGTCAACGTTGCTTCATAATAGGATGAACTCCACCCAAGTAACAAACACTCATGATCTGTGATAACCGCCCCTTTTTTTTTTTTTACTTACTAATATCTAAAGGAAAATCTATCTCTCTTGGACATCTCCCCTGTGATAAGCTTTTTTCTCGGTCAGCTATTTGTTGTAAATACGTATTTATAATATAACACTTATGGGTGTTCATACGTGTACTTAAAAAAAGCTACACTGAGAACAGGAGGAAAGGTTGACTTTCTTTAAATGACACTTTTTAAAAAAGAAACTGTTGGAAACAATTTTTTTTTTCTGTTTCCGTTTCTGTAGCTCTCTTTTTTTGTACCATCTCTTTTGCAATTTCTAAGGTTGTCACGTTAAGGATGTAAAAAAAAAAAAAAAAAAAAAAAAAAAAAAATTACAATGTTGCCTACAAAAAATTGGCACGGATAAACAATGCGGTAAAGAACAAAGTGCAACTTCCCTTTTTGCATTACGCAAGCACTTCGGGAAATGGAAAAATTGACAAACAAGTAAATGTAGCAAAATGTGAGCGGCTGTATTTAAAAAAAAAAAACGCCTGGCCCACTTTTCACAATGATCATACACAAAATGGTGAATATAGGCTCCCCACAAAAACACACCCCTTTTGCTTTATCCATGTTTTAGAGATACTTTTCTACTAGCAACTTGACCCGCGGGAAAAAGTACCTCTTTTCGTTTTGTGGCATTTCGTTCAGTGTGCACCTCAGCTGTTCATTGAGTTTTTGAAGACTCCTTTTTGCTGCTTCAAGTGGGGGTTCGTCCATCACATCTGGGTCATCTGGATTATCTACCTCATGTGTCACATTCCCTGTAGCGCCCCGATAGGGTGTCATCTCCATCGTCTTCGCGACCTCCTCCATGATACAGTACGCGCACAGAAGGATATCTATTAAAAACTGCACCAAGAAAAAAAAAAAAAACAAAGTAGCAAAATGGAATGGGACGATTTTGCTATGTAAAATGGACAATCAGGCCTAACACGCCAATCACACCACTTATGGACAATGCGCAAAGGGATAAAAGGTAACAGGGGGAGGGGGAGGTCACCGCACACTCGAATGCACACACATGTAGAGCAAACAGAAGCGACACTTCGCCGTACATATGAGGCACATAATATAATGGCGCTCTAGCGCACCTGCGGATCGCCACGTTCACTCGCGCAGGACGCCCTCGCTTTCGCTTACCGAGATGGTGTAGTAACTACGCTGGGAGAAGGGACTGTCCAACAAGCTTCTAACTCTTTGAATCAAACATGACACGAAATGATGGAAAAAGAAAAAAATGTTTAAATCATAAAGGTACCCATTCGAAAAACAATCCGCATTGTTAACCAAATGAGCATACAAAATGTTTCTGTTGAGTGACATTTTAAAAATGGTGATTGCCAACAATTTGATGATACCCCTTACGGGTAGATCTACTATGCTGTTGACACTAACAATAGTTATGCTGCTCTTAATTTTGGTGAGCATATTTTCAAATTCTACGTGGGTGCTCAAATTATATTCCAAGTTCACGCTTGTCATTTCTTGAAGGTCCTTATTCACGCTGCATGTGTACATAATACCCTGCTCAAGTAGGACGTCAAAAAATTTGCAGGCCATGTGGAAATGCGGCATCACATATGCAAACTTATCCAATTCAGATTCTTCTTCCTTGTTCCCACTTTTGGAAAGGGTCTTCTTCACGAACGTGACAAAAGTAGACACATCAATCGTCACATCTTCTCTGTGGTCGTAGTAGATATGCTCCTGTCCAACAGCTACATCGGCTTGTAAATCTGCTTCACCGTCCTTGGCAGCAGGCACAACGCCACTAACTTCTCCTCCCCTGTGATTATTTCGTATATCGACTGCTCCTCTCTCCGGATAGAAACTTCCTCTCCTCTTGGACAACAAGCAGGGGGACAAATAAAAAGTTGCGAAATAAAACAGAAAAGCCACTTTAACCAATACGAACAATCTATCGCAATCGTTTGAACTCCCTGGCAGGGGGTGATCAGTCAAACCCACCCGCTCGATCACCCCAAATAAATAATCCATTATGAACAGGGAGTTATTCATATTCTTGTCCTCATCCACTATACATATGTTAACATTCGAAATGATGAATGCCATTCGTTTTATAATCAAAATGAGGTTGGCATGTTTCTTCTCTCCATCTGAGAAGTGCTCACCGGTTGTGTGTGCACCTTGGTCTGAACAGTTCATATGCATAACCGTGTATATGTCATTTCTGACGATAAAATTCCATTCGGATAAGTTCATCTTCATAAAGAAAAGCAAAAAATCCTCCCTATATAGATAATCCTTGTTTATCCTAAATGTACAATTTTTCCCGCGCAAACACAGAGCAGTTCCTTCTTCTGTCCTCGCGTCATCTGGGTTGACCTCCACATCGCCCTGGAGACCATCTTCGGGGAAGTGATCAACCAAAGGGGAGTAGCTACACTTAACGTCTGCTACGCATGTGTAGTCGTTCCAAAGCGGGGTACGAAAAACTCGATCCAGAAGAACCATGGCTTCTTCCTCCCCCAGACAGAAGCCCAAGGTACTCCTCTCCTCCTTCTCAAATTTTAAAATCAAAAAATAAATGAACAAGACCAACTTTCTATTCCTATTTCCGTACACAAAATACAGATTAGAAATTATCTCAAAGGACTGGATGGTGTATCTATTTTTACTTAAAAAGTGATCAATCAGTATCTCTCTATTGTCCTTCATCACATCGTCCAAGTCGGTCCTTACATCGAGGCGAAGCAGCTGTTCCATTTCCTCCCTCGTACCAATGCAATGCTTAAAATCCCCGTACGCCTTCCTAACCTTGCGCTTATTTACACTTAGGAACGAAAGGAAAAAAAGGCAGTTATTCACAAACAGGGCGTTATCATAACTGTACAAAATGGAAAATAATTTACCCAAAAAACAATCAAAAGTGTGTCTCGTAATTATGTTGATCGTACTTCCTCCATTCTGCACAAATGAAATCGCTTCCATTATTCTACTCCTTTCTTCTTCGTTAAACGTTTCGAAAAATGTGTCGAAGAAATTATTATTTATAAAGCACTCACAGTCTGCTAAAAGTACAAACATGAATGGGGTGGTAAGGAATGGAAATGATGACCTACTGTTTTTGGAACCTCCCACATTCAACTGATCCACACTGTTCCACTGGTTGCAATTCCTTTGTTCCTTTTCCTCTGGAGAAGTGGAGAGTCCTTCCCCCAAACGTGGTGCTTCATAATCGGGTTTATTCACCCCACCATTTGCCTGCTGCGCGAGCATAATTACAAAGTAGCAAAAGTGATCCATCTGGTCGATACTGTTTTGCGAAAAGTTACTCAAATATTTTAACACGAGTCCACATACAACTCTGACTTCTCCGCCATCCTCATACGTGTTTATTTTCTTTTGTACTAATTTTATTATCCTTTCAGCATGGCTATAAGCAATATTACTGTTGTTGCTTTTCTCCTTCTGGTCGATGTTCTTTCCGCTTGTTTTTCCCTCACGGGATGAACCATCTTGCCACAGCGTTTTCTTATCCTTTCGGTGAATAAACATTTCGTACATGCGGACTAGCAGTAGAAAGTACTTCCTTGCATACTTTTCCACGTTCCTGTGTGTCCTGTTCTTCCACTTCCCGTCGCACAAATTGTTGACTAAATGGCTGCTTACATCCGTGTGACTTGGCCCCTCACTGGGATGTAACGAATCTACCCTTTTTACAACCCCGTTTGAGGTACCCGCTTTTTTTTGATGCTCCAGATTTTCTACGCTAAAAAACTCAAATCGTAAGAGGGCGTAAAAGTAAATAGAGAGACAATACTTTACTAACCCTACATAGTTGAATGGAATCTTCCTATTGGCATCCTCAAAATGGTTCATCTCTTTTCCACACAGTGATAAAACCAACATGACCAAGTAGAATATCATTTTCAACACCTTCTTGCAGCTACTTAACTCAGATGCATGCTCGTTAATCACCCCCATTGCTCTGTTCAAAAAATTGTTAACTAGGATCATCATTTCTTGCTTCCACATTTTTATTTTTTTCTTCTTCATCATACAAGTTATTACTTTTAAAATTTTCGTGTACAGATGAATCAAATCTACGTTCATCGAATTGTACACCACTTCATCCATAAAGTTGTATAGACATTGTAATAGTTTTGTGAAAATCTCCATCTTAGTTGCCACCTGGATTCTCGTCTTTTCTTCCTTCTTCAGAAGGAATGGGTCGTTATAGCTGTTTCGTCTATTCGTGCCAGTTATGAATTCGTAGCAGTTGTCCGGGTCTCCCCGCGATTCGTCATCTGCGACTTCTTCTGCATCGACAGGACCCCCCTCTTCTGCTACACCAATGGGTGTCTCTTCCACGGAAGCACCTCTTGCTTGTTGCTTCAATCCACTGGGGAGGTTCCTCCTGCCCCCCCGCTTGAATCTCCATTTATGCTTGAATAAGAGGAAGAAATACTTCACCGTTGTGACCTCCTTCTCTATCGGCAGAGAAACGAAGCAGCTCAAAATGTTACTTAAAAATTCATAGAAAAACTTATGGCAGTAATGAATCTTCGTAAAAAAAAACCTATGACACAGCTCCAGGTTTAGCACCTTCAAAGGCACTCTTTCTATCTTCAATGAGTGAAATAAGCAAGTTTTAATCTTGCTGTGGAACACGTCAAAATCGATAGGGCTATTAACCAAGTGGTAAAATATTTTGGAAGAATAATTACGCACATTTTCATCTTCATCTATAATGCCCTTCCCATAAATCTCCAATATTTCTTGCACATGATTTGCAATTAAATTTTTGTTTTTCCTTATGGCTTTAACTAGTTTGGCATAGTTCAGCTGTCGTATTTTATTCGATGCATGATATATTTTGGAGAATATCGAGAGGTCGAATTCATTTTCCACGTCCTTCCGAATTATTCTCTCCTTAACTTTTGTCCTCTTAAAACATTTTGCATAATCTATTTTAGTTTCCTTTGCCTTTTCCCTCTTCTTCTTGTCACTTTTCAGTTTTAGGACAACCATTTTGTTCCATCACTTGTTCACAGAGTATATGTTTCGGATAGGGTTAGCACTCTGAATAAGGGCTACAACGTGGGTGGTGTATATATAACTACCACGGGGAAGGCCTATATTGTTGTAGCTGCGTACCTACCACTTAAAAGGGTGAGAGGCGCGTGGTCTTCCCTTCATCGGGGTCTTCTAACTATCATAATGTTTATCAAAATGGGAGTATACGAAAATCACCTCCCTCTGGAAGATTTAACAAAGGTATGCTTCTCAAAACAAGAGGAAAAAAAATACAAACACTCCTTGTCGCTACAACAAGTTTTGCTCATACCCAAAAGGATGTTTCTGCGGGACTGGTTGCCAAATATGACATCACGAGCTGCTTTCCATATTCGGCTATCTACGTAAACACCTTTAAAAGATAAAATTACTTCGTAGAAAATCTACCAACAGAATTAATTGGAGGCCGTGTTCACCACAAAACGATCATGACTAAGTTGGGCCACTCCACCGCCGAGTTGCCACTCATATTAACTTCACGTGTGGCCAAAAATTAAAACCATTCAATCATTCTTAAATGATAAAAAGTATATAGAAAAAGGGAAAACAAAAAATTAAAAACAATAATACCAATTTATGTTAACAAAAAACAACTCCTTGTCAACATGTTCCTTCTTTATGTTGTAAAAAATACAAAAAATATATAAAAAAAAACGGCGGAAAAAAAAAAAAAAAATCGCCCCGCATGTACAGCCCAAAGGACAAATTTTCCCCGAAATTTTAGCTGACACATTTTAAAAAAAAAAAAAAAAAAAAAAAAAAAAGGCAACAAAAAAAAAAAAAAAAAAAGGCAGCGAAAAGGGAAACAAATGTTGCACATCAACATGGGGGGAGTTTTATTGCCACTCGGTGAAAATGCATTATGTTACAGAAATATGCTGATGCAAGATTTTTTACAATCTTCTTAACATTAACTGATTAACACCACTTTTTTCCCATACTTCGTATTCACTTGTGTTACGAAAACAACCAAATGGGGACAGGGTGAAACGAAATCGAATAGATGAGATACACCACTGCAAAACTTCAAATGTTGGAACACTTTTCAACATAAAGAAAAAAACGCAGAAAGGATACCAAGACACGTTATGCATGTAAATGTGGCGTAGGCGGCACATGCACATATGAATACGCGTTCGTACGTACAACGTGCGTGATGGTTACTATCGATGGTTGCTGACCGAATAATCCGCCAAGCCGCTAAATCGAATTTTCGAACCACTGTTTTTTTTTTTTTTTTTTGTTATCTCTCCATGTTCCATTTGAAAAAGCATTGCAATGAATTTTAAAACGGACTCCGCTGTGTTACCCAGCTAGCTGCCATTCCGCTATTTCGTTATTTCCTTATTTCTCTACCCCGCCGAGCCTGATACCCGCTTTGCCTGCTCCATTTTTATACGCCTTGGCCTGGTCCACGCGCGCACCACGCCAACATTAGCACTTACACATTTTCGCGTACACATTCGCACACACATATATCTCATTGGAACCCACTCCCCTTGCGAGCGCATCGCTCCCCGGGCCCACCAAAGAACAAATGGGAATCACCAACCTGCTGCCCTTCCTAAAACCGATCGCAAAAAGCACACACATAAGCAAGTACAAAAATGAAGTGATCGGTGTGGATATCATGTGCTGGATCCACAGGGGTCTCATCAGTTGTGCATACGACGTAGTAACAGATAATCACAACGACAGCTACTTAAGCTTCATCGAAAAAATGCTAGAATGTATTTATCACTACAACATAAAGGTAGTCTTCGTGTTCGACGGAGAGGAGTTACCAGAAAAAAAAGCAGAAAATGTAATCAGGAAAGAAAGGAGAGAAAAGGCAAAGAAGGAAGCACAAGAAATTATAAAATCTGTGGAAAACCCAAGATCAAACGAGGCGGTCATCAAAAAATGCACACAAGCTTTAAGTGTTTCCAAAGACATGATAAACACTGTGATGAACTTTTGTAAAACAAAAAATATAGATTATATTATTTCTCCTTTTGAAGCAGATGCTCAATTGTCCTACCTTTGCAGGATGGGATATATTTCTTGTGCCATAAGTGAGGACAGTGACTTGCTAGTGTATGGCTGCCCTCGCGTCCTGTACAAATTGAAAAGCAATGGAGAGTGCGATGAAATATCCCTGATGCCCATTGATGATCTGATTGACATAAATGTTATTAACAAAATTAGGAATCCCCTCTCGAATTCGTTTAACCAGTTTTACATGACCCCCATGAAGGACGGTCAGAAGGATGTAGAAGAAGAGGGGCACTCAGATTGGGAAGACAATAATATGCCCGATTTGGTGGAACGCCACTGTGTTGAGGAAAACCAAAATCCTGAGCAGATAGAACAAAACTACAACAACGTGATGAAGGACTATATGGACCAATTCTACTGGCCAGAAGAATTAGACAAGCTAAAGCATTTCAACATAGATATGTTCCTGGCCATGTGTGTTCTAAGTGGCTGTGATTACACAACCGATTTTCACATCACAGGAATGGGAATCAAAACTGCCTTTAATTTAATCAGTCAGCACAAAACTATCGAAAACATTTTCTCATTTCTCATTTCGCATGACAAATGGAAGCGTAAAATACCACCCAGTTTAAACACCCTAGAAAAACTCATGGGCAAATATGAAGAAATTAAAAATGCCTTCTTACATCATCAAGTGTATGATTTTATTTTGTGCCAGAATATCCCCATCAGCCGGTCCTTTAATAGTGCACTAAAGGAAAGTGAAAATAAACTCCTCATAAATAAAATACGTGACATTTCCCTCATATATGACAACAGCAAGAGAACAGGAAACTGCCTCAACGTATACTCGGAGGATCTCTCCAGTTTTTCTAGCGGGGAGAAAAGTAGCTTACATCCTCATGGGAGTAACACTTCAGAGAGATGCACCGAAAGAACTACAACAGGTGAAGAAAAGGTAGATACCCCAAAGCAACACCACCACAAGGACATGCTTGAAGGAAATGTTTCTCCAGAAGCACGCAGCAATACATATTCAGTTTCACCAAAACAAACTTACATAAAAGAACAGACCTACATAACAGACAATAGGCCAAACGATTTCGAACACATTTTTAAAAATTTAACATCCGAGTGTTTAGAATATTTGGAGATATCCCCCGGCCGGTACAGGAATTCTCACGAAGGTCAGAATGATCTGAAGGAGCAGGAGGAACCACGCCACGAGGGGGCGGGCACACACCCATTTGACAAGGACTATGTGGGCAGCGCTCAAGAAGATTCCCATGGGTCAAGCGGTTGGACAAGTGGCTGGAAAAACGATAAGAAAAACTATCTATCATGCCACCCCGGAGAGCACCCCCCAAATGTAACACACAAACAGGAACCGTTCGAAGCAGTCACGCAGACCATCTCACACATAAACCCCAGAGGAACCACTCAGACGGCCAATTTGTCTCCCCCCATGGAATGCACCAAATTGAGCAAGCGTAAGGGCAACCACGATGACTCGGTTAACTTTAAGAAAACGAAATGGAGCGACGCAACACCCTCTCACTCAGATGACCAAACGTGGAGGAACATGTTGGACGGAATGGAATCCGATTGCAGTAAACTCTCAAGCCAAAAGAATCATGGCGAGGTTCTGAAAAACACAAAGTGGATATCGCAGTCTGGTGACAACAGCCAAGGGGGGACTCGCCTCAAAAGACCTACTCCACACAAATTTGACACAAGCATTGACGAAGATGCAACAAAGTGGAAGTCACAGAAGCAGCACAAGGAAGAAGGAAAAGAAGAATCAGAAGAAAAGGAAGTTACCAACCCCACTGGAGAAACAAACAGAAAGAAAAGCGCAAGAGTTATGTACCAAAATATGAAGAGCAGCTTCCTTCTATACAAAACGTTGGATGAGGAGACAAACACCCACATGGGATCTTCCTCGACAGAATTGAAACATAACTCCTCACAAGAGAAGGTGAAATATGCACACGTGAAGGAGATTCAAGGGATGTGTAAGGCAGAGCGACCTGATGAAAAAGGGGGGACTTACGTGGAAACAGACATTTGGGACCGGAAGGACAAAATTAGAAGCGGTGCTCAGGGAAAACCAATCAGCACACCGATCGCCGACGAGACTCCCCGCGTGAAAGACCAAATGAACGTCAAATCGGAAAGGAGCGACCACCCCTCAGACATTTCCTCCCCATTCAAAAGTAAATTCTCCGAGATCAACGGAAATCACAAAAGCCAATTGCAGATAACCAACTTTTTCAAAAAGTCGGAACGAGAAAAGCCTAACTTGGACGGCAAAAAGGAGGGTAATAATAACGCCTTCCCTTTTACGCGACCCAGAATTGGTTCCCCCAGTGGAAATGGAAAGTACTCTCTTTCAATGAACAACTACGAACAAGTCAATACAGAAAAGCAACGGGCGAGCTACCCAAATGAATTAGGCATATATGATGCAAGAATGGATGGGAGAATGACCAAGTATAATCATAAGTTCCCTGTACAAAGTAACACAGAACAGAAAGGAGGGGGACTTCATTACGTGGGCCACGAGATCCATCACGAAGACGCCCACCAAATAGACACCCAAGACGAATATGTGTTCCTGAAAAATCTGCACAACTCCGGATTGATAAAAGAACCGAACAGAAAGGAGTCCCCAAAATGTGTCATCAGAGATACCCAAACCTGGAACGATCGTGTGAGCAGAAAGGATGGCGATTATAAGGGCGAGGTTCCCCGCAGTGATCACCATAATGATCGCTCTGTCGACCACCCCTCCCATCACCATGATCGGCCCTTCCTCGGAGACACTTGCCACGCCCAACGCTCAGCCGAGAAAAAGGAAAAGAAAAAAGAAATTAACCTGGAGTATATCTTGCAGAACCTCAACTACAACTACCACCCCCGCAGCCACAAAAGCAACACCTTCGACTACTTCAAGGAGAAGGAAAACGTGCCCCCACCCAACCCCTACGTGGACAACAATTTGTGAGCGAGTCCTGGTTCACCGCGCTCCGCGCCTCTATCATTACACATTGCATGTATACATGTATGCATCCAGTTATCTATGTATGTGTGTATATTTCTCCTTTTTTTTTTTTTTTTCCTTTTAAAGAAAACACACCAAAAGTAGCCCTTTTAAAAAGACAACTCTAAATGCTAAATAGTTTTTACAAAGTAGAGTGCATAACGGGCAACAAATGACCCAACACAACCAACGGGCCAAGTTAACAGAAACAGTTATACTTACGGCAATCGCTCCCATAAGAAAAAAAAAAAAAAAAAAAAAACGAAAAACAAATCATCCTGTTGGTAAATAATTAAAGTATCTGTCCGACGACGGAACCGCATACAAATCTAGGCCGCTTGACTTCTACACGCTATCGGTTTGCTCAACAATTTCGCAGCTCACTTTTTTTTTTTTTTTTTTTCCTTTTTGCAAATCCGCGAAGTCTATTCGTCCACACACATTGCTGTCCACCCCAAGGGTAGCTGCGCCGACCAAAAAAGCAAGAGACCACTTCTCGAGAGGAAACTACTTGTTCCCCATTTCAGCTGCGTACGTCCGCACCGTACAGGCCTCCACCTCGTTGTATCACCATGAATTGACTAATTTCATTTTTATTAACATCTTGAAAGCGCATTTGAGGGGGAGTCCAAAGGGCTCCTCTGTCCTCCCCAGAGGGAAGGGGCACATCTTTCGTAGTTCTCTCGCAGTTAACAAAGCCATTTCTAACAACAAACTTACCAGACTCCAATCCATTTCCACAGTAGTGCACATTTTTTATCTTCCCATTCATTATGGATTTACTCCTATAAGGCATCATGCTGTTCAGGTGATTAACTTGGAAGCCTTCCCTATGTGTTCCATGCCCCTTTCTATAATGGTTGTTCCTCATTTTTTCCTCTTCCAGAATGCTATACCCATCATAGTACCTGCCACCTCCGCTGGGCGAAAACAAATTGGCCTTGTGCATTTTCCTACTTTGATTATAGCCGGCATGCATAGAATTTTCCTTCAGAGGTAGATACTCAGGGTGGAGAAGTCCATGCAGAGAATATTTTTCTCTAAACGTATTCGCACTGTGTCTTTCCCCATTTAATTTGTCCTTCCCTATTTGATTATGTGATTCCCTTCCTCCATCCATCCGGTTCGCATTATTTCTCCGGTGTGATAACACTCCGCTGGTGTGCCCTTCCCAACTGGCCGCATTCCCATGCGTCCCCAGTAGTACACAGTTACTGACTGCTCCATTTTTTGACGTCTTCCTTTCTGGCCCTATATTTTTTGCACTTCCGTAAGGGTCTATAGTGTTTACACTATGCAGATGGTGCTGCCAATTGTTCATATGCTTGTCCAACCCTCCACCTTTATCAATAGCATTCGCATAAGTGGAGGGAACCCTGGCTTTATTCCCCCTTACATAAATCAAACGCCCATTTAGGTTCACCTGCTGAGCCCCCCCATAATGCTTTTTTCCCCAATATAGTTGCTCGCCCTGTGGAAGGTACACCACCCTGCCAACAGGGCTAGCCGCCGGCGTCCCTTTCCGATTAGCTTCATCCATGCGATGCTTCTCTGCATCATGCTTCTCTGCATGATGCTTCTCCACATGGTGCTTCTCTACATGGTGCTTCTCTACATGATGCTTCTCCGCATGGTGGAAGTTTCTTACGAGGTCACCCTTGTGATGTTTTTCTCCGCCCGCATTCGCACCGTTAAAATGGCTGCGCAGGAAAAATCCCCCCTTTTTCTCTCCATAAGACGCCTTTATAATATCTTGAGTATTATACGTACTGCTGATCATGCTATCCAAATTAGACCTCATTCCTACACCTGTGGCGTTCTCATATGTGTGCCTCGCCTCACTTGACTTATCATTTGTTCCGTTAAATGCTACACCACTCCTGCTCACGTGCATAGGACTGACCTGCTCGCCAACCCCAAACAAATCAGTCTTCTTCAACTGAACTGCCTCCTTCTCCATACCATGCAAACTTATCACATTACGCACCGATGCGGTGTTGTTATTACGACTAGTTGTGGGGGCAGTCTCATTTCCGTCTCCACCACTACCCTTCCCTGTTGCTGCATCCCCGACAGAGTGGCTCAAACAATAGGCGTCCCTAAAATCCCTTTTTTGTGACTCAGCCAGTATCTTCTCATACCGGTTTTTTAGCGTGTCTAGCTTTTTCTTGTTTTCCTCCAGGGCGCTCATTTCGCTGTCCCCCTTAGAATAGGACTTATCCACCGCCTTGGTAGTGCCCACCATGCTGCTACCCTCTCTTCCACCACCTCCAACTCCTTCCTTGTCCTCCCCAAATTTCTTTTCTAATTTTTTCTCAAAGTTTAGCCAGCTCTTCTCAACTTGGGAAATCAAACATTTCTTCACATTTTTCTCCACCCCAGCGCTGATATCCTCGATGCAGACTTCAGCCCCATTGCTCACTGCCAAATCGGTGTTACCATTTACACCCCCTCTTACTGTATGCCCCTCCATCATGTACTTCCTCACATCATTGACCTTGTTAAACTCGATATAGTAGGAAAAGTTCCCCTTGCTGTTTTGGCCTATAATAGTTTTATTCTTCCAATTACTGAAGCAGCAGTTCTCACTGACCGATCTGCCCCTGTTGCCATTCTTCCTCTCATTCATATGACCATGTCCTTCAAACACTCCTTCACCTCCGCATACTTGTCTTTTTCTCACCCCTCTGCAGCTCTTTTCACTCTTCGAAAATGACGTCTCATTATTTTCCAACCCACTCGTGATCTCATTGCAATTCCTCACTACCTTAGAATTAGGCAAAATGTTAATCCTATTTATTACCACGTTGTTTATCCCTACATTGTTAACATAATGCTGCTTCCTCTTTGAGTTGCCTAACCGGACTAGATACCCTATGTCGGACGCAATGGGTAGATTTCCCCATTCATCATTGTTACGCCCCTTTGCGTATAATAGTGTCTCATTAGAGGAGGACTTTTTGCCAACGTGGCTACCCTCGCTAGAGAAAATTGGCTTTACTTGCCTGTCATCTTCTCCCTTTGTGTGATCTCCCCTCTTTTTTGAGCAGTTGCTTTCATCGATTGGAGTCCTACAAGCTGTACCACTAGCGTCTCTCATTATTCCTCTCTGTGCACTACTACTATGACTACGGCTGCCTGCGCCTCTTTCCGAGATAGACCCCGCGATGACAGCACACGATGGAGCCAAATTAGATCCATTACTCACCTTCAGCGAGGTATCCGATTTGCCAGAATTTAACAACTCGGCATACCTTTTCCTTCGGCAGTAAGACCCCGTCCCATTGGACTTCAAACCAGCACCTTCATCATTGCTACAAGTATTACAGCGACGTCCCTGCTTCTCCACTTTAGCACACTTACCGATCTTTTCCTTCCTCCTTTTTATTTCAGACCCATTCCCCGTGTTCTGTTCCTCTGCTCTATGTTTGAAAATACCGCTAGTGCACTTTCTCTTGTTAATATGCATCGCAAAATTTAGGACAAATGGCTTCTTTCCTGCCTTTCGGAGGCTCCTATTGGGGTTCCTCTCGTTTCTACACCCTCTCACGAACTTTGCCTTCTTCGGAATTGTGTCTCTGTTTGGGGCATTCCATGTAGACACTGCTCCCTCCGATGAGACAAGAACACCATCATTTTTGTCTAGCCTCGATTTTTTTAACTTTTTATCATTTGCACTCACCACAGATTCTTCTCCCACCTGTTCCCTTGCGCAGTTTAATTCTCTACCACTACATGGAGTCTGCGTTGTCTTGTCCTTTCCATGTTCCCCTTTCGCAACACTAACACTTGTATCCTCTTTTTCCCCCCTTTTGGCATGAACCCAATTGGCAGGACCGTCCTCCTTTTCCATGACATGTCCCCCCTTCTCATGCACATCCATGGCTTTCCTCATGCATGTTTCTTCCAAAGTGGCTCTCTTACTATCTTTACGAGGGAATATTTCCACACTTTTTCCCCCCGTTTTCTTCACTTCCCCGTTCGCGCATGTTTCATCGGCGCAGGGGTTACCCTGTCTGTTTGCCTCCTCAGCATCGGAGCCCCCGTTCTCATAATCCCCATCCACGTTGCAACAGCTGCCTACATCCTCTATCCCATCACTGTCTCCTCTTTTGTCATCACTTCCGTTACACGCATCATCCTCTTCTGCGTATTCTTCTTCTGCTTCATCCTCGTCCTCCTCTCCGCTTCCCCCTAAGTCGCTGCCCCCGCCGAACAGGTCCTCATCACTGTCGACCTCATACTCTATGGTGTGCGTTTCGATGAAGTTCATTACGTTCTTCTTGTTCACATTTCCATTGCCGTAAAACCAAGGGTTCCTTTTGCTACTCACTCGGTTTAGCTCGGTCAGAGCTGTTATTGGAGCCTCTCTTACCCTCCTAATACTAGCCTTGTTCAAATTCCACTGGTACAGCAAGGAGTTAAAGGATTTTCCTTCATACTCGTTGTATATACTTTCTATTCCGGCGTACGCAGTTTCATGCTCATTTGGCTCCACTTTACCAGAATGATCTTGATTGGTTTCCTCCTCACCAATGTTTCCCTTCTGCATGGTATCATCCGGAATGCTCCTTCCCCCCCAACAGGCGGACAGATTGTTCCCACGCACGATCTCTGCACTATCACCGCTAGACCTCTCAAAGTCAGACTCGCCCCGACCCAATAAATTGTTAAAATAAAACTCCTTCATCTTCCGTAACCTGTTCCTACTTTCATACTTATTCGTAATGTACTGAAAAAAAACAAACTTCCTCAAAAAATACAACTCCTTTTGTAGTCTTCGTATGTCCTCCTCATACACATAAGCGTTTCTGCCTCTACTCTCGACCTGTATCTTCTTTGCCCTAGAAACTAGCTTCAACGATGATAGCGTGTCACGGACATTTTTCATGCATGAAGATATTGTACATATAAAAACAGTTTTGCTGGATCCTCCCAAAGAATCCTGTAGCAGTCTCGTCAAAATGGAATTTCTGTAACTGATGTTTTTATTCCCCTTGGACAATTCGTTGATGCAAAGAGACAGGGCAGATAAACTCCTATTAATAGAACAAACTTCTGTGGTGTATAATTTTTCATTAGACGCTGCATACTTTTCATTTCCAGCCAAGTCAATTAGCAACAAATTTCCTGACTTAAAATATTCAGGCTTAGAATGATTCACATATCGTAACTCCACTTTAAATATGGAATGGGATCTTGTGGACATTTCATTCGTTTTTGTAATTCTGCATGCTCTGTTACTTGTGCCATCTATCAACAGCTCTATCAGCTCCTCACAACTGCCTACCTCCACGGTTACCAAACCAGAGACAAACGTGGCATTGTTCGAAAGCTTAGACTTTTGAGTGCTTAAATAGGGCTGCGGTTCCGTACACGGATTTAACAGGTCAAATATTCTATCGTTATATAATTGCATGTAAGAGGCATATACCTTCACATTTTTAAATACCTCCTTCGATTTCTCCGCGTAGGCTTCGCGGACACCATTAAAGTTACTGCTTCGACCACCACGTAGATGACCGCTCCTATCACCGCCTTCCCTGCTGCTTCCCTTGGAGGCCCTCTCCCCATGCTGCTCCTCCCCCTCGCTGCCAACCCCCCTATGCAGGGACAACCTACTCATTATTTCCTCACACGCCCTGGGAATCATCCCCTTCCTGTCTGAATTCAAAATCAGCCCAATTTCGTCCTGCAAATTCTTCACATTAGGCTTATACTCCATTCGATACTCGGCAAACGTTTTGCAGTTCTCGTACTTCCCATAATAGCTGCTCTCACTCATGCACTCTGCATTCGACTTCTGATAGTACCTAGCATTCAGGGGTCCGTTTGGCGAGATATTTGTGGAGCTGTTCTTGCTGTTGTTCGTGCCGCTGTTCACGATACTGTTCACCATACTGTTCCCAGTGCTGTTCGCAGAAGTGTGCGCCCCGTTAAACTGCGCGCTACAGGAGGAGTCGTACATTTTCTTATAACTGCAATAGTTTCCATTCACCAGGGGAATTACTCTCGGAGGGAAGTTAAAGATCGGCTGCGAACAGGACCTCTTCCTCTCGTACAAAAAGTTGTTACTGCTGCTGTTGCTGTTCCCATTACCACTAGCACTACCGCCACCACCATTTGGAAGCCTCAAACTGTTCGTATTGAGTAACAATTCAATCGGCTGCATGCGACTTGCGGAATGGCGCATTTTTCTCTTCTTCCTCTTAATTAGCTCCATGACGTCTGGACCAATCATGGTGTAAGTTTTTCCTGTCCCCGTATGACCATGCGCAAACACAGTTGCATTCTTAAAATGGAAAACGGAGTCTATGCAAAAACAAATGCTCTTCCATATGTCCGATTGCGTACTGCCTTCATTGAAAATTCTATCAACTACAAATTCACACTTTTTGTTTTCAGTGTGCACTCCATAATTGATTAATACTGTGTTTAATCCTCTTTGCGTGATTACATTTTCCAGATTGTTCCCCACAGAATCCAGAGGCTTAATTCTAATGCATGTCTTTATTTGCGACTTGTTCCAGTTCATATCTAGATTGTTTCCAGAACTGTCTTCATACCTTTCTGATACGTTGTGGACATTCTTATCATTTTCTTCTAGCAAAACTAAATCGTTTTTCTCAAACTTGAGAAGATCCCCTTCCTCCGGTTTCCTCTTCTTATCATTTTCATTTTTGTTCTTTTGGCATGTGAATACCTCCTTCATTATGCACATATTTACTTCATTCTTTTCCAATGCATTATGGATAATCATATCATCTGTGCTGGATTCAAGTTCTTTATTTTGTTCGTCGCCCCCTTTGCATTCTCTTTTGCACAAGTTAACGTAGCCTTTATCTTCCCTTTCGGCGCAAGAGTTGCTAGACCCAAAGGAACACTCCGTTGCATTTTCCTCATCGTTATTATCCACATTTAGAGTGCTCTGCTTAGAGAACTCCTTATATTTATTCATCTCGCAGGAGCGGTCATTATCACTGTTGTATTCCACCGTTACGCTCTTGTCATACATTTTGTCGGGTAAGTCCACGAAGGCTTTGTTTGAGCGACTGCAGCTACTGTCTCGGTTGGCACGGCGACTGCTATTTCCACTGCTGTTCCTGCTTCCATCACCAGTTCTTTTAAAAGACCCTGTCCCATTGATTGCCAAAACTGCTGAGGGAGACCCCGACGTGCACGCACTTACACAGTTCCGCGCTTCATTGTTGTCTTCCATTATAAGGCTGTTCTTCATTTGCAGTTGAAGAGCAGCACAGTTATATGCTTCTACCCCCGTGAAATTTACTTTATGTGATCGTGTGGTTACCGTGTCTGCTAAGGCAAATAGTTGTTCTTTACTGTTTTTAAGTGCCCATGAATGAAGCTACGAGTAGATATGCATACGTCTATATATACACACGTGTAGTGTTAAAACATTGGGGGGCACTAAAAAATTGACTTCCAGGGGGGATATTTTTGCAGCACTAGAATAATTTCAAAATGGCGCTCACATTTTAATATCCTCAAATTTAAACACTTTCATGGTTGTAGCGTGTTTCGTGCGTTGATGGAGGGTGGAAGTCAGAGAGGAACAAATTACAGGTGCCCCAAAAAAATGTACGTACGTTTGTATATATACATAAGTACATAGCAGTGGCAGTTAAATGTAGACGTAAAAACAGTTTGGCATATGGGTGTGTCCAGGAAGGGGAGCACGCGGGGAAAAAAAAAAAAAAAAAAAAAAGGGCTGCGTCTCACACAGGTAAACAAATGTGTAAGCTGGTTGTTTAGCTACTCTTGTTTCTTTTTTTTTTTCTTTTTTTATGTTTTTAAAATTATTTTCACTTTTTTGGCTTTACGCGCAGCTCTTGCTAAAAATGCAGAAGCTTTGACAACTGTGTGTAGCGTAAAGGGGGAATTCTCTATAAAGCTAAATAGACACAGAATGAAAACCCCCTCTTTTTTTTGTTTTTGTTTTAACAAACTTGTGAAGCTATGTCGTGCAAACAATTTTTACAATCGTCCGCTACACATCTGTATTCTACCCTCACGGACGCGCTCTTTTTTTGCTTTTTTAAGAATTAGAATTTAAGTAGGAACTCATTCCTCGTTGAGGAAAACAAACAAAAACAAAGTAGAGCGAAGCGCATCGAAACAAATGAAAAAAAATGCGATGCAACGAAAAACAAAATATGCGCGCCAAAATGGAAGGGGTAAACAAAAAAAAAATGTCCACTGAGTGTGCAATAGTACAAAACATACAAATGGCAAAAGTGTTAATTACGCCCAAAACAAAAAAGACGTTGTTTAAACCTTAAGGAGGTAATTAAACCTTTTTATTCCCTGAGGAGTTCTCACACAATACGTTATTTTTTTTCTTCTTTATAATTTTTACATACAAGTCCGCTTTGCAATTTTTTTGTGTACGCACTTGTTCTTGTTCTTGTTTCGATCGTTTCGGACATTTTAGCTTTTTGTTGCCGTTTGGCTATTTGGCTACCTAAGAATTTTTTTTTTTTTTTTTTTTCCGCACATCCTACGTAAAAAGCTTTCTAAAGACGAAAAAATTTTCTGAACGGGTCAGGTAATATTTACCATTTTAAAAAAAAAAAAAAAAAAAAAAAAAAAAACTTTTCACTATTCGCACAAGTAGTAAGCATTTTTTTTCCTTCTTAAACGACATCACATACAAGTGCGTATACACATTTATGCAAAAAACTGTAGAATAATGAAAAAATATTCCTCGTCTTCTAAACCTGACCACAATGTTAAAATCGCGTATTTTTCTTACCCTCGATCAAATGATTCTACCGTTAATCCTTGCAGAATATGTCTATGCCTCTCAATGGTCATATCAAAAGGGACTTACAATCGAGCTATACGTCCATATGAAGAAAGACAGGCACATGTGAAGAACGCTAAGCTTCTGAACAATGGACTACATGTGTATAATGTCGTTGTACAAAAAATGGAAAATATAATGAGTGAAGGAAATCGCCCAGTCGACAATTAATGGAGTGCTACTTCAACATGGCCATTTTTGCTAAGAACATATTTTGTCATACATCCGAATTAATGTATCGCCATTTTCGTGAACAATTTTTCCAAAGGGTCAATTTTGTAATAAATTCCAAGTGGTGTGGAATCCCTATGGACCAGTTGCACACATGTGTGGGTATGCATATCTACACGCCCATGTGTTTTGATATATATATTTTTTTTTCTCGTATATACCCATCGTACTTCATTTTATCCACATTCCAAATTTACATTTGTGGCCATGCGCTTGAAGGGGGACAGGGGCCTCATGCGTGACAGAGGGAAAAGATAAAATATATAAATAAAAAAAAAATTTTAAATAAAACCCTTTTCGACGTTCCCGAAAAAGTGAAACAAACAAAACATCGCTATTAAGTAGCTTCTTGCCAAGAAGCATTTCCCGTTTTGATTTTCTAAACATTGTTAACATCCCCGTATATTGGTTTGCATATCCTCGACATTATGTCACGTCAAAGAAAACAAAACTACTGCGATTGTGGGGTGCCACCCGCCTACCACTACAAATTCACCTCTACAATTGGAGCGACTTGGTTGCACAAACGGTTCCTAAACGTTGGGACAAGAAGCAATGAAATTACGTTTATGAACAGACTGCATTATATGCCAAAAAGGAGGGCTCATTTTTCATGTTCTACATGCGCGTGAAGGATGTATATATCCATATGTGCACGTTTGTTGTTGTTGTTTTTTTTTTTTTTTAATAAACAAAAATGAACATCTATGTCCTACATCGTTTTTTCACCTCACATTTTGTAGTACTTTTTTTTTTTTTTTAATTTTGAGGTTTTTTTTTTTTTTTTTGCAAAACACAGAATGCACTGCTTTCTCAATTCCCTTTTGTTATTTGAGGTATCCACGCATCGTTTATTGCTTCCTCACTCTCGCAGTTTAATTCGCACACATATTTCTCCCCATCCCCTTGAAGAGAAACTTCAACATTGCCATTATTTTTCCCGAATTAGCTGTTGCATCTCTCAAGGCGTCCTTTTTTTTTAACCAGCACACGTAACTGTACGTGTACACATCCATACAAGCGCATGTGTATGTACATTGACCTTGTCCTCCCCCCCTATTCTCTTTGCTCTCCGCATTAATTCCTCATCCTACAGAATGGATGTTTTGAGAAAGGCTCTTCCGGATGACTGCTTAAACAAAGCGGATTTTTTAAAAAACGAGAAGAACACAATTGGCGAAGACTATAACGAGATTACATTGAATAATGAGGAAGTTTTCCATCCCACAAATTTCGCCACCAATGGGACAAGCGACGCATGTAGAAAACCCCCCCTCAGCACGAATAGCATCCAAGTGGTAAGCAACGATGGCGATAGCGATGGAGATGCAAATTGTGCAAACAGCGTCATGACGAACCCCCAGCAAACGACTATGAAGGAAAGAAGCAACCGCTACGTGAACGGAGCAGAAGCAAACGAAGGGAACAGACAAATAAAAGGCGAAGAGGAGGGAGAAGTGCATATCGTGTACGCCTACGTGGTGAGTGACTCCAAAAAAACAATCCTCTCCAACAGTGAACTCATATCCATACACATATCCACGGATAAGGATAAAAACTATACAGTAAAAATGAACATAAAAAAATTGCCCTCTGTGAGGAATGGCCATTTTTTATGTTTGACCAAAAATGGGGAGATCCTTTCCATAGGGGGAAGTGATGGGGAAAAAAAATACGGACTGGTTGAAAAATTCTGTGCAGACAAACAGACATGGAAACAAATAAACCTCATGCATTTTCCAAGATCCAATTTTTGTGGAGTATGTACAGAGAATGATGACCTTTTCATTTTAGGAGGGGAAGGCAAGCACCACATTTTAAACAGTGTAGAATACTATGACAGCAAAATTAAGTCGTGGAGGTCCCTCCCCCCTCTCAACTGTGTCAGACACTCTGCTAGTGCAGCCATCTTTAATAATATGATTTTTGTGCTTGGGGGAAAAGATGGAATTGGGGATTATGGAAAGGTGCACAAAAGTATGGAAGTGCTAAATTTGAAGGACAAAAAAATGAAGTGGATTATGGGTAAGCCTTTAAAGCAGGCGCGTCTCGGCCATGCAACTGTGATCTTTCAGGACAAGCTATATGCAATAGGTAAGTAAGAAGGGTCACATGTGTTGTGTGTATATGCCTCGTGTGTATCCCACTTTCATTTCATACAGTTTTGTAGAGTGTAGGTCACTATAAGGGGCCTTTCATATCAAACCATACACTCCGCATTTCCCCCATATGTGTGATTACCCCCTTCCAATACGTAACTTCCATTGGGGAAGAGCACAACTTAACATTTGCATTTATACCTTCTTTTTTTTCTCTCTCTGTCTTCCCTTCAAGGCGGATCAACTGGCGTTAAGGACCTTAGCTCTGTCGAAATATATGACTTCCAGAGGGGCGAATGGACAGGGGGACCTAGCTTAAACTTCTCCCGTTCGAACTTTGTCGTCTTTGTTTGGAACAACCAGTTGGTGGTATACGGCGGCGTGAGCAAACACCAGCGGGTAATCAACTACATGTGCATCTGTCAACCCATGGGAATATACCCACATTTTTTTTTTGTTGTGCAAAGGGAGTAATAAGGCAGGGGGGGGGGGGGAATCCACTAACGTTGAAGAAAAGTCACAAGGTGTTTCTTTATGAGAAGCCGCGCAGGAAATGTTTTGCCCTCACCCCTACGAGCACAAATTTCATACCCCCATTGCTTAACCCCACACACACACCGTCATTCATTTCCCCGCTTTCGTAGGACCTTATAAAGAGGGCCGAAATACTAAACGAAGACGGGACACGTTGGCTGCTCATGAATGAAGATGGGTCAAAATAAAACTGCTACAAATAATTTACAATGTAGACACAAGGGGAAGTAACGTTTTATTCCCGCTATATCAATTAACACTGTGTTTTTGCACAGATAAGTGTGGAGACTCCACCGCCCCGTTATAGTAGTGTTGCGTTTTTTTTCCGTTACAGGGGTATTAAAAAAATGACCGTTTTTTTTTTCCTGCCACCGTCCATTTTTTTTTTTTTTTTCTTGTATTTTATTTGATCATGCCCCTTCTTGGGGTCAGCGGATTTTCCGCTTTTAAAAATATACTTTGCGCAAGTGTGTCGTTGGCGGCCAACTTTTGCGACAACGAAAGTATTCCACAGGCATGGGCGGCCATAAGGCGGAGAAATGTACGCATCTGTTGATGTGTCCCCTCCTGACAACTAATGCTATGCCTTCTATTTGCGTCCGGACTGTACATGCAGGGTTTTCCCAGTGATATGGGAGTAGCATCACATATATATATGTATACATATATATATAGGGTCTTTGCGCACACGTAGAAAGGTTACTGAGTCCACGTCGTTTATTTTTCTGGGCTAGATATAACCACATGTGGTGTTGCACTGTTTTACATGTAATGTAGCTCTGAGACTGGCTCGTTCAATGATCCTATTAAGCTAAAAGAACGCAGCATGATACAAATGAAATTCAACCCCCTGTTTAAAAAAAAAAAAAAAATTCCAAAGAGAAAAATTGTTTTTTTCTCTGTAACGCTCTTTAACATCAAACCACCGCACCACATTTCGTGTTTTTTTTTTTTTTTTTTTTTCCCACTCTTTTACAGTACCGCGGAAAGATGGCTTATGTCATCACATTTTGATTACATTTATTTTTAAGTGAACAGTTTTAGTTCTTCCCTCTGGCTAGTAGCGACGCTGTTTACAATTTCGAACGAAAAAGGTTGCTCAGGAAAAGAGGTAGAAGATTTTTTTTTTTTTTTTAAGTGTCAACCAGTAGCCACTGTTTTCATGGCCTGCTTGGAAAATTGACAAATGCATAACCAGACTGATAGGAAAGGCGCGAAAGGGGCTTTTTAGTAAAAGCTCCTACCTTCACGCACCCCTTCATTCTACACTCTCGTGTTTAGGCGAATAGAGAATACGAAAGTGGCCAATTTGAAGAGGAGTGTGCCATAAGAACGACATATAGTTTACTTCGTTCTGCCGCTCGTAAAGGGGAGATGCGTTTTTCCCCCAAGTTTGACGCGCTGAAAAGGGGGCGCACATTTATACGTCTGTGCTGTCCCCGAATCGAGCAGACGAGAAAAGCCACATTGCAAAGGCACAAAAAGGGGGCAACTGTTCCCTTCAGAACAGCTTCCATTTCTGCTCTTCCTCGTAGAAGAAGCTAAAAAACGATCAGGCTAGGGCATCCCCCTCCCTTGTTACGCTCCTGTGGGGAGACAGCCATGTGTACATCAAGCTGTTCACATGTTCGTACACACGTGCACCCCTGCTCATGTGTGTGCTCCTAACCGCCAAACAACCAACGAACGGACGAAGAAAAGAGAAAAATGGACTACTATTTCGCACTGAAGAAGCAGGACCTCTCGGTCAACATCGACATGCACAATGAGAGGATCGAAGGGAGCACCACCATGACCTTGGCCCTCTATATGCCCATTTATTACCTTTACGATGAAGAAGATTTTGCCAAGGTCAATTATGACATTAACAAAGTTCGAATTAGGAGAGATGCATACTGCTCTGAAGGGGGTCATGGCCAAACGGCGGAAGAAGGAAAAGAAGATGAAGAAGAGGACACAAGCGAGGAAGACGACGAAGATGAAGGGGGAAACGCCGTAGATCCAGGACATGGCGATACCATAGACGGGAGAAGAGATGAAGAAGAGGAGAGACACAAACAGGGGGCATGCTCCAAATTGGCTGAAACGCATACCTCCAGTGCGTTCGTCACACACGGGAAGGGTGAGGAGCACGGAGGACATGGAAGGCACAACAAATATGGCACACATCGAAAGCACAGCAAGAATAGCAAGCACGCTGCGCTAAACGGAAAAGACCCCCAGGAGGAAGGTCCGAGAGACATCCCACTGCTACAGGACAAAGACTACACCAATTTTATGAAGAAAAAAAAAGAAAAAAAAGTATTCGTCGCTCTTGAAATTCCACACAACATAAACTCGAGCTCTTACCAGGATGTTAAAATGAACGGAACAGAACAGGAGAAGTACTACATCATATATAACAGCTTGGGGCATGCCAACGATCCCTATGTTGAAGGGCACGCCGCGGGGTGTGTGAATCAGAAGTACGGTCAGTATGGTCACCATGGCCATTATAACATGTACAAACGGATGGGACATAGGGAGAACCCAGGCCAACGCGTAGCACCGAAGAAGGGGGGACCACCATACGGCATAACAACAAATGGAGAAATAGAGAAAAACGAAAACTCAAAAATCAAGTTCGAGTTGAAGCAATTCAATTTTCCTCACTCGAGTGGACAAAGTAATGAAGAGGGAGAAGTCGCTAATGGTTATGGATTCCCCACCTGGGAAAACACCCAAGGGGGGATCGACCCAATAGACGAAGCACCACATGAAGAAAGGGAAGCGAAAAGGGAGACAGAAACGGATGAGGAGGAAGACTACGACTTTGTCAATAATCACAAAAGAGAACGAATCCCAAACATCCTAGACCTCGTGTCCTTAAACAAATACACAGAGGAAAATCACCTCAAGGGAAATAACTTTATGTTCATAACAATAGAAGATGAAATATGGAACAAGGAAAAGGAAAAAAATTACCACAATTGGAAAAATTTCTGCCAAGGAGAAACAGTTACAGTAAAGAAGAAAGGAGAATATCACATAAAAGTTATAATAGAAATAAGTCTAACCTTTTCCTTCTTCAATTTAACATCCTCTCGTAATAATTTATATTTTAATAGGACTGAAAATATACTCGTACGATTACAGAACTATTCTGGTAACTGCACCTTCTTCCCAACCTTGTCAACAATTAATAGCATTTATGGAAGATGCTTTTGGGAACTCCTTTTCAGAATTGAAAAACCCTATATGGTTATATCTTCGAACAGTTTAGTAAATGTATACGAAGTTGGTAATGCAAACTTCTTTCTTTATAAATCGTGCAATCGGAATGGCAAATTGGCTCCCCATGAAATGTCTCTCTATGCTGGTAGGTTTGATTTCCTTCACTTAAATAATCTCAACCTTAAAGATTTTCAGAAAATAAATTACGATTTTTTGTACAAAACGGAAATGGAGTCCAGGAGTAATAAATTCTATTCGGCTGATCAGTACGGGAAGGTGAAGGGGAAAGGGGGGGCAGGTGCGTCTGGAAGAATGGATAAGCTGGCCGAGGGTACGATGTCTCTGTCCAGGGAGAATCTGTCCTCTGGGGGAAAAACCAAACGGAGGTCTTCAGCTAAGCGATACTACGTCGACTCAGACGGGAGCAGCGACGAGGCAAATGTGATCAGCGCGAACGTGAACAGCGCGAACGTGAACAGCGCGAATAGTTTGATGAACGCGGACGGTGTGGCCAACCCGGATCACACCGCCGCCCCCCCCACCAGCGAGTACCGCGAAAAAGGCACCACAAAGAAAAAGGAGTGGTGCACCTACTACCAACGGGTGAAGGATAAAGTGGTGCCAAACATATTCATCTTTACCTTAAAAAATTACAAAGACGAAATGGTCCACTCCAGTTATCACGTAGGATACATACTACGAACATTTCTCGAAATCAGCAAAGAAAGCTTCCCCTTTAATAACATAACAGTCCTATTTCTCCCTCTAGCCTTTTTAAACTTTGAGAATTACCCCTCGTCCGAAAGTATAGAATGCTCCGTCAGTGCACACACGTATGATGATATGAAAAATGGCTACAATCTCTTTGCAAATAGTAACTTGTTAAATGCAAAATTATCAGAGCCTTATGTTTTTCTCGGAAGTAATAAATATTTTATCTTTGGAAATGTTATTGTATTCTCTACTCAAATTTTACACTCTCTCTATGACACCCTTTTTAATATAAGTCTGTATAGCTACAAGATTGTCATGGCAGAGGGGCTGATTTCCCTTTGCTTTGATCATTACACGCACTTAGTGAAGGATGAAAATGTCCACCTGATATTTATGCTTAAGTGTCTCGTCCTGCAAAAATATTTGGAGCAAATATTCGGGACCATCGAAATGAATGTCATTTTTTACGAGCTCAGGGAGAGATACTGCTCCCTCGTGGAGCTCTTCGGTGATGTCAATTTGTTTTACCATTGTAATAAGGATAGGGGCAAGTCGTTCACATCAGAGCAAGAGCGGAAGATACCTACCGGGACAGCGTCAACGCACTCTAATGTTCCATCCATGGGGGATAATGTCCCTACACAGAGCCGATCCCCCTATGCGCTAAACCATCTCTTCTTCCTTAAAGCGTTCCTCTGTGTCAGAATTTTCTTCAACATATTGAAAAGCTTCTCCTTCTGTGCAACCATTCAACAATACTGCTTTTCACTTTTCTTTTCTTATCTCAAGCGAAAGGGACGGATGATCAGTGCGTCCAAGTTTTGGAAACAGGTGAGATGAAGAGGGGTGTGTGGATGTACGTCACTACCGTGCGTCGATGAGTTCGAGGCGACCACTTCTCTCACCATGCATACATGCATCAGGTTCGTACCCATTTACATATCACCACAACCATCCCTTCCCACCCGCGCCACAACCGCAGGTCTTCGCTGAGTGCACGCGCAGGTACATTGAAAGCTACAAGCAGCTCCCCAAAAACAAATTCAAAATGAAGAAGATCGACCTGCACGCTAACTCAAGCGAACTCAAGACAGAAGAGCACGAGCAGTACCAACTCCTAGAAAAATATTTCTCGCAATTCCTTGAAACGTACATTAAGGGATACGGGGTCTGCCAGTACATACTAACATTCAATGTGCACCTACAGAGAAAAGGGACTTCCATGGACAGCTTCAATTTCCTGGTCAGCCAAAATTCCATTAACCCCTTCAACTTTGTGAATGAGGATTTCCACTCCGCCTACTTCCTTGCAGAGATGGCGTCCACCAGTGTGTACAATCTGCTCGAGCTCAACAAGCATATCGATTCGAAGAGCAATACACATGGGGGCAAACACAACAGCCGAAGGAACAAAATTGTCATGCACGATTATCTAGACCGAATATACTACGATAAGCTGTTCGAAAAAGGATCCTCAAGTGATCACTTCTTCCATAATTTGGAGAAACACTTTCTCTCATTTTTAAAACAAAAAAAAATCCTCCAGACAGACCACTTTTATGAATATCGTGAAGACCTCCTAAGCCGTAAAGCCAACCATTTGATAAAAAGATACGTCATGAAGAGGAAGCGTAAAATTTTTTCCTTCCTCCCAAATGCCACCCTTAGGAAAATGGCGCTCCGCGCAGACATGGCCACATCGCACAGTAGCAAAATTGTCAAAGGGAGAAACCCTATTGGGTATGGGCAGAGTCAAAACGAATCAAATTGTTCCACTGCCAAGCGCCACATGGAAGGCCCCATCCAAGGCGACACCCACAATGACCAAACGGATGCCACTCTTTACGCACGAACCGCCGACAGTGAAATGTTCATCAGTGAAATGCCTCCCACAGAGCAACCTTTTGCACAAAGCAGAAGAACAAAGCAGAGCGACCTTTTCAAAAAAAGGAAATCAAAAAAGAGAAAACATCATGAGAAGGGAAGGAAAAAAAAAAAAAAAAAAAAAAAAAAAAAATTTCAATAGGGAACAAACTACAACTGCAGAAGATCTAATTAGGGCAGAAAAAATAAGCAAGCGTGTAAAGATATACAGAAATTATATTTTAAAAAAAAAAAAAGAGTTAATCAATTTGCCCTACTCCAATTATGATAGCTTGGAACTCATCGCAAGGGATGGTAACTTCTACCTGGGCTTCGGATACGTGGGGTCAGATGACCTCGCCTTGACCACTGGGAAAGGAAACCTCTACAATAATATCATCGCGTATCAGAAATTTAAAAATTGTAATGTGAAAAAGTTAAGTGAGTTGTGTGTAGACAAGCATCAGATCCATGAGTATAACAGCACAACTCCCTTCCACACCAGTTGCATATACCCGCATTGGAAAACCACCCTTCGCTTGTTTTACTACTTGCACATTCTGGGAAAAATTCAAAAGAAGAAAAAGCTCCTAAGACGCGCTAGTGCTCCCGCGATCGATGCCAAGGAGGAAAACGAAATTGAAATTTTTGAACAGGGGGACCACTCGGAGGGGAAGCTCCATGTGGCCAAGGAAAGGAGAAAGAAAAACAAAAAGGACAGAAAAAGAAAGGAGAAAAAAAAACATAGAAATGGGGGGAGTCGCCATGATGCCGCCCGATACAAGCACAGGAAAAGAAAGAAGAGAAAAAAAATGCACACAATGGAGGGTTCGCAAATATTGGAAAGTGTGGAAAACGAGGAAATGATGGACCAAGCGGAGGGGGAAAGAGGTGTGCTGAAGGGTGGAGAAAACGACGAGGAGGAAGAAGAGGAAGAGCAGAGAGGGGGGGTATATGGCGAAGACGTGAATGCTTTCAATCACCCACCTTACAGCACGCTCGAGAGTGCCGCTAGCATCAATTTTGACTACCCATACGCAGGGGACGTGATGCAAGAAGAAGGGGGAGAAAACGCCCCGCCCTACGACTCCATTATGGATGAGGGAATGTCAGAGGGGGAAGCCCATAGGAATGGCACAGGGGAATACATAGACCAGATAAGCGAAGCGGAGGACGCATCTGCCAATGCAACGGGTGATTTCCCTGGCGCAAGCGAATCGAAGAAGAAAAAGAAAAAAAAAAGGGAAAGGCACAAAATGAAAAAAAGCAAGGAAAAGGAAAAAATAAAAAACCTCAAGGAACTCCTCCTCAAGAACAAGCTGTACGTGGAGAACTACCTTAACCCATATGTGGCCAATAACATTCCCAACTCAGTAGACGAACATAAATTTTTCTTTTGCTTGTTAACGATTGAAATTGTGGAGGATGACGGAGTAAGAGTTGTGAAAAAAAATTTGCTAGAGAATGTTACTCCAACCCGATTCAGTGTAAACGCCAGACCAGAAAAGGGAAGGAAAAAGGTCGCCTTCAAACATGAGTCCATATATATGACCAAGCATGAAGAGTACGTTAGTAGAAATTCAATCGATGCGATGGACAGCTACATAAATGAAACGGTTAAGTTCATTGGAGTTACAAATGAAAGTGACAAGCACATGATTGAGTATTGTAAGCAGAAGGTCCTCAAGAAGGACAAGTCGTTGATGTGTCTAGACAATAGGAAATTAGTTGCTAAAATTTGTAGCAAGGGAAAAATACCTCTACTTTGGATTCGAATAGATAATGACTTTTCCATCCTCGGGAGAATTAGAAGGACACAAAGTGCTAGTATGTGGATTCAGCAGCTGTTCAATGACAATAATGTTTTCGCTCAACTGGAGTCTTCCTTTGCCTTGGCCTTTATCCCCTTCTTTTTCCTCCAGAGGAATGTAACAGGGGCAGACCCAGCGGGGGGTAGTGTAGTAGCAGCAACAACAGGGGGTGGAGTAGGAGCTGGAGTAGGACCGGCAATGGAAGCGGGAGGAGAAGAGGGAGTAGGACCCGTGGATTATAAAACTGATCAAGGAACCCATGCAGATAGTACACTCGACATAAATATGCATACCCTTGCAGTAGGGGCTGCAAATGCAGGAACAAATCACCCACCACACGACATTGCAAATGGAGGAGAGAACATCGGTGAAGACTCCATGCAGTTCATCCAATCTGTACTCAGCACAAATAAAAGTGGAAAACATAAAAAAAATGATTTTCACTTGGGAAATATACCATTTAATGTTGCATCTGGGGACACTCTAAATAATCAACTCTTAAACGATACCTATAACGTTGCACATGCACAAGAAAAAAATACTCACAAGAATCGCATGCACAATGGGGATGTCTCTTCCAACCCTATGATGAATGAGAACAACATAGTCCATGCCAACTATACAGGTTACGCAGCGGAGGAAGACGAAGTCGAGGAGGATGAGGAAGAAGAAGAAGACGCCACTTTGGACCTACCCAACAGTGCAAATTATGAAAAAAGGAAAAATGCACATCTTACTCGGATGGTCAGAAATGAACAAACTTCCATTAAAGATAAAATGAACAACCATCAAGTGAACCATGGCAAAAATGATTTACTTAAAATGGATAGGATGTCAAGTCATACTAGCAGTTCTGGAAGCGACACGGATATTGTGGATTGTAATTTTTCCACTTCCACTATTGACGATCTGAATGAAGAGGAGAACACTTCAGAACGTAACTACTCATCGTCCAGTTATAAGAAACAAAAGAATTATAAAAAAAAATGGACCAGAAAAATATCTATTGAAAATATCCCCATTAATGTAGAAGTAATCAAGTGCCTCTTCAAATCCATAACAGCTTCATACCTCCATTATATGGTAAAGATTAGGTGCATTTATTCTCTTTGCTTTATTCACAATAGGTACTTGTGTACTCAAAAAATTATTCAGAATTTGTTCATGGAATATACAAATGAGTTTTATGGAAATGATTTGAATGAGAAAAAATTCATGCATGCCTTTTATGTTGCCATGTCTTTGTTAAGGAACAAAAATAACCGCACGCCAAAAATTATAATTTCTTTTCTCGCGCAAAAGTGTGCCAATTTCGTCTACTCCCTTACACTTAGTGACAAGTACCATGTGATGCGTGACCCGCAGGGGGGCACTGCGGCACCCCCGCAGCACATTTCTCCGAACGGGGTTAACACAAATCACGTAGGGAAATGCCCTCAAAAGGGGGAACTACAGGGGGACATGCAAGGGGAACGACAGCGGGAACTGCACGAAAACGCCAACGTGTCCAAAACGTCCTGCGCGACATCCTTCCCTCTTATATTCCCTCCCTCCATGAACGACGTGTGCACAAGCTACGACAGCGTCAACCTCAAGCAAGGAGAAGCAAACAGGGGCTCCTACTCCGCAGTTATGAACGAAGACAGGCCACCCGAAGGATCCCATAATGAAGCCGAAATGGACATTGTAGTGGAGAGAATTACCGCCCTGACCCACGATCAACAGGAAATATCCCAACAGGAGGGAGACCTCCGCCGCCGTACCCCGAATTCATATAAAAACGCGCAGCAAAAACGGACAAGAAAAGTTACGTATGAAAAGGACCTCCTCATTCAGAAGGAAGAGGAGGAGGACATCAAGATGGTGCTGGAATGCCTTGGCAATATCAGGTTCAAAGTGGAGAATCTCGCCCTCACTCACCACCCTACCGCAATACCGAACGGTACAACGAAAGACAACCCGATGAGCAACAAGGAGTACCTCTTTTCAGAGTACCTCTCGTATGCTACACAACGTCAACTCCCAAACAGTGCAAGCAACCATAATAACATTTTCCAGAAAAAAAAAAAAAAAAAAAAAAACTACCACACATACGATTTCTGCAACATACACATTTACAATAATGATGAAAAAAAATTGAAAAATAATTTCTTGAATTTAAAAAAAAAAAAAAAAGAATATGTACAAGAACTAATAGATGTGATATTTCTCATATACCAGCTGAAAAAGCTCTCTCCATTTTTGCCCATTTCCGATTGGGTCATAATTATCCTCATCAGAACCATAGGTAGGAACAAAAACATCCTGGACGCGTTCAAACGGAAGATGTACTTGGAGTATAAGGACCATTTCGATTTGTGTAAATGTCTCCCCAGTGAATTTTTCCCCTGGGGAAGTAGTGGATCCAACATGAGTAATTTCATTTCGCCGAGAAATGCAAACTGGTTTCGCCTCGAAATTGTGCGAGCCATTATTCATTTAATTCTACATGGGAACATCCGATTGTTTCAACTTTTTTATTGTGTCATTCCTGAAGGGGATTCTCACGAGCAGAAGCGTACTACCCAGGTGGGTCCTCCCCAATGCAGAACCGACTCGCTCACAAATAGTTACACAAAGGAAAATTACTTCTTCGTATCAAATTACACAAATTACGTGGAGAGAAAAACCATATGCAGTCATGTGCTTAACATTTATAGCGCTTTCCAGTTCTGCCTCCAAGTTGTACAACTCTATCAGGATGCCCAATTTGAAATGCTCCTATGGAGTAGTCTGTACAAGATGCTTCTCATATGCCAACAGAAGCACCCCTTCTTCTTTTTGCCCTTTTCAAAAGCATTCTCCAAATATTTTAAAGATTACCAGAAGAAAACCTACTCCCCCTTCGAGTTTTACTTTTTGCTTTACGGCTTGAGCGATGTTAACGCATTCGAAAAGGAGAATCACAGTGAGGGAGATGATTGTGGACGCCATTCTACTAATAATCGCGGTGGTGCTACTAAGCGGGACTCTTTTAACCTCCCCACTGATGCGCATTACACAACCAATGAACAGATAGTAAATATTTTGAAGCAAAAATGTTGTTCCCATTTAACTACGTCAAAAGGGACAAAGGATGTTCAAATTTACAAGTACAACATCCTCGGTTACATAAAACTAATTACCATTTTGAAAAACGTCACGCACACAAATAAACTGAAGAAGAATTTCATTCAAATGAGTTTTATAAAATATGTAATTCGATATGTGCACTCCCTTTTGAGATCATTGATTGTCTCCTTTTCAAGTGCAAATGTGAATTACTTTAACAATGCTATCCTTTTCGAGCTAAAAAATATTATGGCCTTTTTCTTTGGCTACGGCATTCCTCCCTGCTGCTCCAGCCAGTGGCCGTACATTTACCGCCCGCACTACGACAAGTAAGCTTTGCCCCCGTGTTCGAGTATTCCTCACCAGAGGGGCCGTCACCCTACAAAAAACAAACCTCCCCCCCCTGCGTGTGCGCGCGCACCAGTTTGCCTCTGCACACATACCGCCACACACCTACCACCCCCTCACAGGCTGCGAAGCATAGAAAGCAAAGGAGTCCAAATAAACGACCTGATCAAGTTCCTCCGGACATATTACGACAACGAGTAAGCGCCACGGGAAAAAAACAACAACAGCGCACAGTTACGTTCATATCTCCACAACGTGACAAACCCTAATGCACCGCTTCCCACCCCATCCCCTTTGTAGAAACCTCTTCGAGTGGAAAATCGTCGCGTTGGAATTCATTCACGTTTTAAGAAACATGAAGGAACTGGAACTATTTGTGGACACCCCAACCGTGTCTTTGCAAAATTTTAAGTAAGTCCCCGCAGGAACAAAAAAAAAAAAAAAAAGACTTCCCAATTGTGGAGGTGACAGACACGTCCCCTCAAAGAGGAGCTCTCCAGGGAAATGTGTTTCAATGTGGGCATGTCTACCTAAACTTATATGTGTATTTCCACATACCCCTCCCCCCCTGTGCAGTTTCATCAAAGAGAATATATGGCTCACGCTGATCGCCGCCAAGCTACAGCACGACATTTATAAATTACCCATGGACCTAAAAAGAGACATAATGCTCCTGCTCAAGAACATCCGCATGGTCGACATGTGCCTGGGCACCAACCACCACGACCACATCAACAACATCTTCAATGTCTGCTGGTTCATTATTGTGAAAACATTTCAGAATTATGAAAAGAGCAAGTCATGAGCACGGCGTGGGGGCCACAACAGTTGCACCCAGCACGTTTGTCTTCGTGACCCACTTGAGTGCATCCCCAGCGCAGCTATTGCAACCGTAGCGACGCGATGGCTTCTGAATCAACCCCTTTACATACCCATTTATTTTAATTTCATTTTTTTTTTGTCGACTATTCATACAAAAATTACTACCCCTTATGCGAATAACAAACGAGTGATTTTTTTTTGTTTTTTTTTTCCTGACGAGATTTACAAACTTTAAATCAAATGCAGCTGTTCAAGTGTTGGGTAGAAAAAGGCAAGGGTGTAACCACTGGCCGTTACTCGTATTATTACAATTTTTGTTTTCCATCTTAGAGGGGCTGCTGTGACCTGGGGGAAATTAATGCATGTAGGAGGGACGAAGTGGGAGGGGGTAGCCAAGCTACACAGCTAAGGCGCCAAATCAAATGACCACGTAAAATGGATATAACCCAATTGGAAAATAATACACCGTGTGTTAAGGGCCGCCTAGTTCAAATGGTGATGTTGCCCCCCATTTGTTACCTCATGTATCAGCAGGTTAAGATCCCCTATCAGAGTTTGTTCACCCATGCAAGGGTCGATCGGTAGGCAAGTATTCTCTAACACAACATTGCGCATTAAGGGGGAATGCAGTCCGTCCCTATGGAAACTACACCCTTACATTCATTTCTACTTCCTTTTTCTCTCCCCCTTGTTGGCTACTCTGTGGTTTTATTTGGTGGACCAATTCATCAACACGTTTGTCCTCCATTTGGCATAATGTTCCCCTTCTTATTGGCCTATCTTTTTTTTTTTTTTTTTTCCTCACGTTGCACACAAAAATGGAAAAAAACAAAAAAATTCACGGCTATGTTGAAGCGGGGAAAATAAGCTACGGGCATAAGTTCATGATGTGCCTTTTTGGCTTCCTATCACTTTGCATACTTTACATAATATTCCAAAATGGCGAAAGCATTCACGTAATAGTTATGAATTATTTGTTTCCATTCTTATGGACCTATTCACACTTGTCGGAGGTTGGCATCTTCAAATGAGGAATGCTCATTTTCGCGTGTTTGCAAAAAAAAAAAAAAAAAAAAAAAAAAAAAAAAAAAGGGATATTTGTTTGGTATTGCTAATTTTTAATTTTTTTTTAGCACTTCGCAAGAATACATTTGCGTGCGTTATTCCCCTTTAATTTTGTGTGACAAAATATGTTCACATACGTTTCCACGCTCTCCAGGTGAAATAGCTATATATGTACATCACCCACGGCGCATACACAATGACTTGCTGGCTTCCACTTGCTAGCTCGTATGTTCCTTTGCCCTGAGTTTGACGCACACTTTTATTATGATCCTCCTGACCTATTTGAGATTTAATTGTATTTGCTCGTCCAAGGCCGGCTTTCGGCCCCTTCGCGTGCCTTATTCGCTGGGCTCCTGTGTGTCCACCTACGTACCCGCGGCCCACTAAGTGTGCATGTGAAGATTTTCCTGTATGCCTGCATGTGTAACTGCTTAACTTCCCTTTTATCTGAGGCAAATCTGGAGCATATTCACTCACCTGTGCATGCGTCTACCTCTCTGTGCTCACACACGCGTGCGCAACTTAGACGCACAACACGCAGGCGGACCAGGCTCAAATGAGGCAGAATGGAAAACCCATTTTTTAATCGCCCCAATCAACAAGCTCCTTTTTAACGTACACATATATGTCTTCCTACCTATTTATTTACACATACCTTCTTAATCTCCCCCGTCCCCAAATGAATCCCCTTCTGGCGTTACACACACACACACACCTGTAACATGTATGCTCATTTTTGAAAGTCGTCACCACCGACATGAAACGGGGAAAACCTCCCCTTCCTCAGATTGGTACTCGCTCCAAGTGTATTTTTCTGTCTCTTCTATTTATTTGGGTCATTTTCCCATTTTGCCTTTCCACGTCTTCCATGGAGTCTTGACAGTCACCCCATTTGGCAGCTACCATTTTGCAGTCACCTGCTGCAACGCCCCATTTGCATATGTCCACTCCATTCTTTTCATTCTTTTTTTATGTGTCTTTTTAACCGCCACCCCCCTCTTGCGCATGTGCCCACTTGCACATGTTCACACATTTGCAA